TATTAATTTGATATACTTCCCCCCGTGCCTAAATTTAAATGCTAGGCAGATCCTACCTACCCAGATAGCATCCTGTTCTTACATTTTTCTCAACTCTGCTGCTCCATCAAAATTGATCCACCTTTCTCTTTCTGCTGGGCTTCTCCAAGAGGACAACCAGAGCTATCGCAATAATGAGTTAGAGTTTTATGCTTTCTCGATATCATTTGCATCCTGTTCAAATAAAAGTGAATACTTTGACAGTATGATATTGATGGTACCCACAATCTGCAAGTATTTCTAGAGACAGGCTTGGTAGCAGTGAGACCCAGTACACAGAGAAGAGATATCGATTGAAACGTGTAAGTGCCATTTAGTTAGTCCTGTCCTCACCGCTCCGTAGACAATGTGATGTGTTCAAGACAGAATGCAACCCAATTTCTCCCAAGTTTACTAGGAGGAGTACAATGTTAAGGCTTCTTACCAGATGCAAACATGAGCACTTCCAAGCTCTAAAAGCATTACCACTTCCCTCTGTGCCTTAATGATTGTATTCAGTTTATTGACACTGAAGCAATTTGAAAATTTCAGGGAGCCAAGTCCCTAAGAAATTTCTCTTCACCATATTAATTTAAGACTAATAAAATATTATAACCCGGGTTAATTAGTAAATGTTTAATATGTGGGCCACAAACAACAATATAAATATGTGCACAATGCTACATTGGGGAAAATACCACCAACAGCAAAAACTTTAACTAGAATATGATAATATAAAGTGAGACTATATGTGCTTACTATATTTCTCCTGCTTACATGTGTGTTTTTTCCTGTTTCCAGTTGTACCCTTAAAATTAGAAGCACAATTTCTAGTAGGTACTAGTTCTGATCTGTACTTTGCTTTTCTAATTACTTTTAACTTTGTTATATAGTATCCTGAACTTGTGGTATCCTTGCATTGATAACATTAATTTATTATACTTCCCTCCCTTGACTAAATTTAAATGCTAGGCAAATTTTGTTCAAGTTCTAAACCCTTCATTTGAGTAAGTTAAGTTGTCAGTCTAACTACAATATATTGTGGATTTGGGCATCTAGGTTGAGGTAAGACACAAAGAGCGAGGGAAATTTTCCTGGACTCAGACCTTTGCACAGTGTATAATCTACCCATCTTAGCTCCACTGGGTTACGTTTGCATTTGAGAAGAGGACCATATGAGGGACTGTGGATAATTCAGCCAAAGTCAGTGGCCATTACTGGGAAAAGCTTAAAAAACAAAAGCAAAACATGTCCTTCAGTGACTTTGCCCCATTTCAAACGTTATTTCAATGCAGGAACACCAAGTTCTACTCATGTTTATGCCACCCATAATGACTAAGCATACTTCTACTTAAAATCTATCCAGTTTTAGTATCCATCATAACTGTACTTTGTGCAGTCATGATTCCTGATCTTAAATGCATTTTTCCCCACCAGTGGTCGGCAAACCGCGGCTCGCGAGCCACCTGCGGCTCTTTGGCCCCTTGAGTGTGGCTCTTCCACAAAATAGCATGGCCTGAGAGAGTCTATTTTGAAGAACTGGCGTTAGAAGAAGTTTAAGTTTAAAAAATGTGGCTCTCCAAAGAAATTTCAATCGTTGTCCTGTGGATAGTTGGCTCTGTTGACGAATGAGTTTGCCGACCACTGCACAAACTAACTTTACCTCAAATGCATTTCCCCCAACAACCAGAATTTTCTTTGTTTTAATCAGGAAGTCTTTAGGGAAAAACAAAACAAAACAAAAACAAACAAACAAAAAAAAAAACTTTGAAAGACAAAGCTGGAAGGCAAAGATAGACAGCTGCAAGTGCTGGCCTGAGTGACCTGTGAGATCCATAGGAGGCCTGCCAGGGAGGGCATGCCCGCTGGCCTCTTCCATTAAAGCTAAGGTGCCAGGGAACAAACAAAAAAACCAACAATCTGCTCTTTTCACTTCCTTCAGCACCAGTTGGTTACAGGAAATAGTTCCAGAGAAACCACCTACTCTCCAAATTCAGCCGGGAACTTACCTTCCCTGTGTTTATGGATTTATCTCGGGCATTTGTTGAGCAGACCTCTGCTTGCCGCATAGTGCTTTCCTTGTTGACTAGGCTCCATCCGCAACAATTAGCATCGGTTTCCTAGGCAACCATTCTGCACCCTACTGAGAAAAACCTTTTCTTGACAGGAGCATTCTGTCTAAAATTGTCTTGTTTTCCTTCTCTCACAAGCATACAGTAGGCTTGTCATTTCTTTTAACACAGCACTATTATGCCTGAGGTTCTTGAAAGCAGAAACATGTACTGGCTTTATATTCTATATGGTTGAATTTATTATCAATGTCACTTGTCTCTTAACAACCTGAAAGAAATCAACAAAAATGTGTTCTCAGGCTTATGCCAACTTCCTCTCTCCCTCCCTCCCTTCCTCCCTCCCTCCCTCCCTCCCTCCCTCCCTTCTTCCCTCCCTCCCTCCCTCCTTCCTTCCTTCCTTCCTGGTTGTTCACAGTGTAATTGGTGAGCCTTTGCTTGCTCACCGAATCACAGCTGGTCCTGATGAAAACACAAAGGGTCCACTTTCAAAATCCAACTTCTGTGTATACCAACAGTGTCATATGTGGCTCTGAAGCAAGTTGAAGTTTTCAGGGCCACGGAGAAAGTCACAACTGCATGGCTTGGTTATAAATCAATCACGCAATATCTATAAATTAATATAACAAAATAACTAAACTAAAGTATGTGCTCAAAACCAGGCCTAAGACTGTCTTAAAATTTCTGATGTAAGTAAAGATACTGAGACTAGAAGAGCATAGCATGAATCAGCATCATAGAAAAACCAGGGCACTACAATGATTATAAACGCTGAGTAGTCTGGTACAACAGTAGAGTCACATTTACAATATCATTTTTGTTTACATAATTAGTGGCCCGAGCCTGACATATTGTCTCTGAGGCAGTGTCCCAACATTCAGGCAAGGAAGTACTCACTGGGAAAAATGACAGAATCAGCATATAGAAAAACTATCCATCTCAATGGATGACAAAAGTTTTTAAATCTTTATTGACATGTCAATCAAACAATGATCACAGACATTAGTAAGACAGCGAGAGTGATTAAAACGGTGTTATGTAATTTAAATAAGCACTTAGTATACATTATTTTATTTAATTGTCACAGCACATTAAAATATGAATGCCACTTTTATACCCCTTAGCATGGGGAACCTGAAGGTTAGAGAGATGGTCACTTACTGTGGCTAGAAACAGATAAAGGCAGAATTTGATTCCAAGTTTTCTGACACCAGAACCTACTATTACACATACTGCACTGATGTAAGTCAAATGACACCCAAATGGGACATTAAGTTGCCTTTTTCCATTATTTTGCCAGTTTCCCCATCTTAAAAATATGTATGATTAGATAATATTGACAGGAAAGAAAAGTATCTAATTTAACAAGTGGTCTAATAACCTTGCATCACAGTATAATTAATTGTTTGTTACTTAGGTGAAATGTAAGTAGCTTAGCATGATATTTTTTTGGTATTATCCAGTAGTTTTCTGTGGATGAGAGCATGTCTCAGTTTGTTTCTTAAACCTATTTGGCTCCCATTTATCTTTCCCTCAATATATTTCCCCAGTACAAAGAAAAACTATTATTTCTTACAAGAATTCAATTTATCTATTGAAGACTGCTTTGGTACTGGTTTTTGAAATTTTTAAACAGACTTTACTTTTTACCTGCTGATCTTATTCTATATAATGATGACCTATTATCATCTGTTCCCTTGGTTATATCTTTAAATCCTTTATTTCATATCAGCCAAAAATTAATAACATTTATTGGATGTTATAAGATGAATTGTTTTTAAAAAGTTGCTTTTATGTTTTTCTTCCAACCGATTTTTAGGCAGATCATGTAACAGATTATTTCCAAGTTGTCTTTCATTTTTCTTAGGCAACTTGACTTTACAGCTATGTCCTGAGATGTTTTTGTATTACTGTCTCATAACCAGAATGACATTATTGATTAAAAACAAAACAAAACAGTTAATATTCAAATACTGGTTATAAGATCCTCACAGACTGATCACTTTACTGACCAAGCCTCCCCTCTTTTCTATGAAACTTTTGTCCTGACTAGATGGGTATATATCATAGACCTTAAAGATCTAATGCCATACATGGAAGTGATATATAAAAGCTACGACTCACAGAATCACAGCTGGTCCTGATGAAAACCCAAAGGGTCCACTTTCAAAATCCAGCCTTGTATTTACCAACAGTGTCTACATAGCAGATGTTTAAAGATGTTTCAAAGATCTTTAAGACATCTGCCATGAAAAAAAAAGTAGTAGCTCTTATATATCATTTCCATGTATTTTATCCAAACTCTGTCTTCTCAGGTTTTTCTGAATTTGTCTCGTGTGCATTGATTCTTTTTAATCACAAATTCATATTTTGAGGCATCTTTGTTAGGTTTTAAATCATGGTATTTACGTAAATACAGCATAGACACTTATGGTAATAATACTTTCCTTAAAAAAATTGTAACAGAACTCAAAAAACATATTTAGATTAAATCCAAAATGAATTCTCTCTTTTCTCTGAATTTGTTTTACTAGGTACAAACAGCTTTTTAAAAAAGAACATTTGTAATAATATGAACAATAAAGATTTATTTAAAAAAATAAAATAAAATAACCACAAAAAAGAAAAGAAAAAGAAACTGCCATACCTCTTACTTATTTTTCTTTCATTCTGTGTTTATTTTGCTTATACTACCAATTCCTTTTGCTTTCTCTTTATTTCTTTTCCCTTTTCTTTTTATGGTTACAATATAGGTCTTTGCATTTTTTCTGCAATTTAATACATTTTATTGTACTCTTGGGGGGAGAAGACAAAGGAAATGAAATTCTGATTGATTGTATTATTTACTTTTCCTCTTTGCTATCTGTTTTGGACATTTCACCATTTTATTTTATGTTTTGCTCTTTGTTGCAGAGGAGGTGTCTGCCAGGATAGTTCAAGTGGTCACAGCTGAGGCTGTCGCGGTCCTAAAAGGTGAACAAGAGAAAGAAGCTCAGCATAAAGACCAGCCTGCTGCCCTGCCTTTAGGTAAATGAGAAAAGCTGCATCTGCCTCTCCCCGATCACAGATCATGTCTTCATGTTCCGAGAGAGGCCATGTCTCATACCTCACTCATAAGAAAGCTCTGTGGGGATGCACTGGGACGTCCAGTAATTTCACCTTTCGCAGCAGGGTCTTCGTGGCAGTAGAGTAATCTTTAGGGTTGATAAACTTATTGTTAGGCTTTGCCCCTAAATTATTCTTAATTTTTCGCTTCCAGACCACATGAGATGATTATTATAAAAATAAAGCCAATGCACTCTTATCTCATCGCCCCCATTTATAAGGAAAATGCACTAATGCTTTGGTTAATATAAGTGTTTCCCTTTGTGGGTTTTGGTAAACGATTGTCTAAATACTATAGTCTTCTCTGGGTCTCCCTGAACCAGGACATAAAACCTATAATCAGAGATTTGTTAGAATTCAATTCTTTGTGTCCCATGTAAGATACTGGTCTTCACTTGGTTCTTTTAAGGACACTCAGAAGGCATTCGTCTCTCCTATGGTCACAAGTCAAATGCCTTCCAGGGCCAAACAAACAGGTAATGTGATGGAGCTTGCCAACAAAACACTCTCATCCGTGGGTTTACGGCCCCTACTCTCCATAAATATAGATAGGTGATTGAAAAATGATAGATAGATTGATAGATAAGTAGATAGATAGATATGCCAAGACACAATAAAGGAAACTTCTTTGGTTTACTTCATAAGTACATAGATGTAATCCATAGGAAGGTATGTTTTTTAAAGCATAAAAATAGAACATAACCTTTTTCCTCTTACAGTCTCATGTATCCTTAATATTTAATTTTCTGATCAGTAATTTCTCAATTGTCTATTAAAAATTAAACAATCAAAAGTCTGCTTTCCCATAATCATAATTTAAAATATTCTTATTAATTACCATCCGATGTTCTTCATCTATTGTTTTTCTCCTAAAACGGAGAGGGAACAGTTATCTAAAACATTGACCTTATGTCTGTGGTTCACTTCTGTTGCTTTGAAATAAAAGAAACCCTCACCTTTTCCTTTTCAACCTGAAACCTCAAAGTATGCCATGGAAAGATCCACAGGGTCAAGAACTGAAGAGTCATCTGCCATCCCAATGCTGCCTCTACTTTATGAAATAAAAATGTACATAATCTTTAGAATACATCTTACCACTGGCCTTGACTGATGACTCTGTCCTCCTTTTGAAATCACTTACCTTCATATGAGTAGTCATAAAGTGTCTTGAGGAAATTTAGCATGAACTGTAAATGAATTACAGCTTTCAGAACCGTTCTCTTTGGTCCTTCTTCATGTAAAATGCCAAGGACAGAACATTACTCAGCTCCCACTGGTACATGTTTCTGTCTGGAGGTTGCCTCTGGCTATGACCACTTCATTTTTCTTTTCTGAGCGTTCATGCAGATGATGGGTTTTGGTATCAGATTCAGTGAACAAAATGCCGTTTAGAAAATACATTATCTAAAATAACTGAATAATCAGGGTAACATTTGTCTTCAGATCAAGATGTTGATCAATAAAGAATTCTAATTTTTTTCAGTCCATCAAGCCAAATGTAAACTAAAACGCCTGACTGTGTGTTTGACTATATAGTAGATTAGGGCCAGGATGAAATCTTTTATTAATTAAACAGACAGACTCAAATTAATGGGATGAATGATGGACTTTTAACAGGCATCTCTAATCCATTTTTATGGAGAAGACAAAATGATTATTTTAAAATATTAAATGCTCTTCTTTCTTTTTAGGTTTTCAAAAATGTATGAATCAGGTAATGGAGCTAAAAATAAGTCAAGTGCACCTTACTATTGAGTCTTTCCTTGAATGTCATAGAGATGACTTTTTATAGATGGCAGAACTGCCTACACATCTGCTGGCCTGAAAAAATTAATTGCCGTATCTCATTTTTTCATTGTTTGATCTTAGCAGCTGAAGAGACAGCTAATCTGCCCCCTTCTCCACCTCCGTCACCAGCCTCAGAAAGGACTGTCGCCGTGGAGGAAGGTAAGGCCTTGGGACCGTTTCAGGTTTATCTTCTGGTAAAGGGTAAATCAACATCAACCCATCAATCCATAACTACTGGACTTTAGTATAGGCTAGTCTGTGACCCAGTTGGGAGCTGTCTCATTCAAATAGTCAAGAAGAAACAAAGACTTTAATAAACAAATGTATAATCATATATCTACATAAAATCAGAAGTGGAGGAATATGGTAAACAAAAAGGGAAAATAAGCTTGATAAAGGAAAAGATAACTTTGTGCTTAAATTGCTAGAATAACTACAGAGAAATAGTTCACTTAATATAGAATGTTTTGACAATAATGGTACAATTTTATCTTACAAGTGACTAAACAAAAAATATATATATTGATGAGCTCAGTACCTCCTTAGGGAAGTGTTGTCAGGAATTGTCTGTTTTGCTGAACATCGTATTGCCAAGTTCTTCCCTAGAACCTGGGTTGTTGCAAGCTCTCAGTAAATGTCAATGAATAAATAAAGCAGTTAATGAGTGAGTCCGATGCAGAGAGCAATGAACTGGAAGCTGAGATCATGGCTTCTTTCCGGCTGAGACCTGTTATTGTGTATGAATCTACTTACACAATTTATTCAACGTGAAAAGCCATGTCAGCTTTTGATATCTCATTGATAAAAAGAGGATGCCTTTGAAGGATATTCATTCAGAATCTGTAATGAATGGCATCATTTAAAAGCAAACTATTACTGGTCCTTAGATCAGTATATTGTTTGAGTGATGGGAGAAAGCAAAGGAAAGCTGCAGCTCAATTGTTATTTTCATGTAATTTAGTTTTCATATACTAAAATCAGAAATTTAACACTCATGCATTTTACTCATTTATTTCTTCATTTATTTTTCCTTTTGTTGTCCCTCTTAGAGATCCTTTTATTATGTTAAAAATAGAAACATCACCAAGGACTCATTGTCTTGTAATTTGTAATTAGATTCATTTGATTTCCTCAGATTTTCCTAAATTACTAAACTATAAATGATTAATAAATACAATTTACTTTTTGTCACAGATTTATAGGTCAAAAGTCTTTTTGTTTCTTAAACTGAAGACTTTTTTCAAACTTACTGCCTGAAGTATTGTTAAACAAACTAAATTATTTTTAGTAAATACAAGAAAATTGGGGATTATGATCAGTACATATAGTTTCATAAAAGCCACTGATTATTAGTTAATTCTCTGAAAATGTGATTTGATCTTTTAATTCATAGATTTGAGCAATTCTTTTTGCCTTATGTTCATCCATTCACTCAGCAGATATTTATGGAGACCCTTCAATGTATGCAGTTCTCTTCAAATCCTGGGTGTACATTAGTGAACAGAACACATAGGATCCCCATTTTTAAGGAGCACACTGTCTGGTGTCAAGAACAGAAACCCAACAAATAAGCTTACCCAGAATTTTGAGTTGGATTAGTACTAGAAAGGAAAAGAACAGGGACTTTTACTTTGGGATCAGAGGAATCTTATTTTATTGTATGGTAAAGGACAGTTAAGAAGCGGAGCCTAGAAGCTTGAATAAGTGTTGGTCAAGCAAAGGTGGAGGGAAGGGGCATTTTGGGCAGAGAGACCAGGGTATGCTGGGGCATTTAGGTGGGCAAGAGCATGAAACACCTTCAGTTCCTAGAACTGGGTTGAGGGGCCTGGACTTCACTCTGAATACAGTGATGATAGTACCTCACTCAGGTAATTGAAAATGTTTCTGAGCCCCCTACTCACAGCCTTTCAGGTGTCAGAGAATCCTCTTAACCCAGAGAGGGCTATGACTCCACGTCTGCTGGAGGTCACAGAATTACTCTTCTTACTCTTAGATGGGGGTTGGAGCAGGAAGGGCCCTAGGATCGCCATTTATCTGGGGATTTACCCAGTCTACCTTTCAGGGGGAAGGGTGTATAATGAATATAATAAAAACATAAATAAAATGTAGAATCACATTTACATTTTAGTAACTTAGGTGTCACTATCCTGAGTGAAACCCTCCCTTATATTTCAGTACTTTCCACAGGCTGTTTCAATATATTCTAAGAAAATGTCAACATATCACTTCCCATTGAAAGCAATCCAAAGATATTTTATTCTGAACATTTTCAAACTTACATTTTTATTAAAATTTTTCAAAAAATATTGAGCTATACGAAGTCCTAATGATTTGCTTTTAAGAGGATGACCATTTTTGAGTTATATTTTTAATGTGTGCATTTTACAAGCTTTACCTAATTAATTTAAAAGACCAAGTAGTTTTCTCACTTTATATATGTGAAAGATACATTGTCTGGACAATTAAACCATCCCTATCTTTAAAAAAACAAAAACAAATATATTCTATTAATTTTTTACAGAGAGGAAGTGATAGGGAGAGAGAGCTAGAAACATCGATAAGAGAGAAACATCAATCAGCTGCCTCCTGCACCTCCCCACCAGAGATGTGCCCACAACAAAGTACATGCCCTTGACTGAAATTGAACCTGGGACCCTTGAGTCCGCAGGCCGATGCTCTATTCATTGAGCCAAATTGGTTAGAGCCTCTTTTCTTTTTAACCACTCTTAAAATATTTCTAAAAACTTTTTAAACTTGATTTTATCACAAAATAAATTAGTGACAAGCCACAAGATAGGATTCAACTCTTCAATTTGTCAAACCAATTTGTTTTGTAAAGACCCAGCCAAAATTCAGTCAATGTATTGCTCATAGCAAGTCCAATGGAAATGGAACAAGTGAGGCTTTTTTCTAGAGTTTTTTTTTTTATCCTTTTTGACGCACCCTCAAAACAACTGTAATCTAAGGGCACTGTGACTGCCACAGCCCAATCCCTTTTTACAAATGCAAGAACTCTTAGATTAAATTGAGTTCAATAATTTTGGAAATTAGGCTTTTTATTAATTATCAAAAATTTTAAATGCTATTTTTTACCAAAGCGGGACCATGAAAGCTTCCACTAAAAATAACAATATGTTCATTACTGTCATTTATAAATATTTATTATAACCAATGTAATATTAATAATTAATAATTTTCAGAATATGTGCTTATTCTGGGAAACATTTAAAGGGTTTTTGATGGAAAAAGAATTAAACAACAGCCACACTTAGAAAGGAAATGCAGGTATAGTAAAATGAATACTGAACTAGGTAGGATGTTTTCAAATTTGGCCTCATCATCATGGTGGTTATTTGGGATTTGGATGCCCATGCAAGAATAATGGAATCATCAGAAAACAGAAGCAGGGATCTTTTTGACCTCTTCGGTTTGCTCCAGAAGTCTAGGGTGTTTTTTCCTATGTCAGTGATGTGGCAATATTATAATTGCTAATCTGAAAAATTTCCCTCCATATCCTTCTGGGGCAGCACACCCAGTTGGCCAATGGAGGAGTCCTCAGTCAAAAGCTCGCAGAATGGGAAGGGCTTAGAAGTGACGGAGAACAATGCACTTGGGGCCAGCTGCCTGCAGCCATTGGCTGTGGGGCAGAAAACGTGATGCCAAAACAGACTAAAACTACTGAGTCACAGAGACCCCGTGACACTCAGTCCCTTATAAAAAAGTGACTACTCATTTATTCCCAAGAGAGGTGATATACAAAGTTTGGGTTTAACATGTCAAACCTTATTTAACCCAATATAAAGTTTCAGATGCTTTCCTTTAAAAAATAGATTGCGTGAAAGCAAATTAAGAAAAATGGATTCCTCCACTGAAACCATTAGAAGGTTAGCATTCTGAATAAGAGCCATGTAACACTGCAGGGTTCATAAAGCTACCCTGTTCTTTCAAATATCACAGTATTAAAATGAAGTGCAATTTTTTTGTGGCAATGGAAGTGCCCCCAAAAGCATGTATACTTATAATAAAAGAAAGCATTCAGTTCTGACCTAAAACAGCAAAATGAGCTGTTAGGAAGTGAGTTTACTCTTTCATCAATTTCTCAAGTCTAGCTTTGATGTCAGATGAAAGTAACCAGCAGCGGTCCATGACCATCTGCCTGAGTGCACTGATAGATGCTGACATGTATGGAATCCAGCACTGTGCTTGGCACTCTCTCAGACATCCTCTCATTTGCTCCTCCTAGCAGCCTACAGGGAGAGATAGGATTCACTCGCACTTCTTGCCCAGGATGTCAAGGCCAGTGGATGGCATATCCAGAATTCAAATCCAAATCACATTCCCCGAAGCCACAGCCGCCCCATGGCATCCCTAAAGCTGTTTCTCGTCTCGGTTCTTAGTGCGGGACTACGAAAACAACTTGGTCTTCCAATCAGAGGTGTTTTTTAAAATTATTTGTTATAAACTATCGGACTCATTTCCCCCCCTTTTTTCCAAATTACTCTAAAATAAATAATTCGTTTATTTATAATTATTATGTATCCTACCTCCATTAGGTATGAACCAAGAGCACCTGCCACACACAATTCCATAGCAAATGAGGATCTATTGTCTTCCATCACTGTCCCTGGAACCACAGGCACTGTTTGCTGGCCATGGTCCTCTAAGCATCACATCCCTGACACACCTCTGGGACTTGTAACATAGATGGACATCAGGCTCGTGGGTCCCAAACAGAAATCGGAGTACAGACAGCTCATAGTTCCAGGAGAGGACTGGACTCGGCCAGACATTCTTTATGAAGTTGCCTGGCTCGGATCCAGACAAACACGATAGTGAAGCTCCTTTTCCACAGCAGCCCTTACAGTTGTTGCTGCTTTTGTTGTTCTCTGACTAGAGTCAAAGTTTTCAGAAAGAAAATACTGTTTTCTCTAAAATGTTAGAGATCTAAAGTAAGACTGGGTTGTTTTCACTTTCAAAAAGAGCAGCGGCAACAAGAAAGAGGAGGTCAAAATCTTCAAAAGGCTTACCCCAATCCAAGGAGTAGTGTCTTATACTGCCAGAACTCAGCTTTCAATTCTTTCGTTTTATCCTGCAGTCTGCTCTACTCCCCAGAAAGTAAATGTTGAACAGCAGAGAGGTGAATATGACATTTTCATTTATTGATTGTTCTTACCATGTGTTGAACATATTGGAGGTTTTAGAGGTAACGAGGGTAGCTGGGGAATTTACAGCCTCAGAGAGTCACTGGAGAAAATGTGAATGGGTGGGACACATGACAATCCCAGGCCTCGTGATTCATCCAGTGTTGTAGACCAGGTTAGAGCCAGTTATTGCTCGGCTGAGAAATCGTGCCGAGTTAAACTAAGAATATCAGATGTAATTTTAGGCTTCTGCTATCCCATGATAAAATAAGCATCATGGATGAGAAAGTTCTGAACACCCATCCAGAAACACCTTCCACAGGGAAGTCAATAAATAATGTGTTCAAAAAGATTCTCCCCCAAAACGTTATTTGAGGATCCTGATGATTTCAGACTTATTTCCAGTTGTCAGCACCTGGCTGCTGAAAATAAGTTACTGCCTTAAAAATACAGTACACTTTCAAATTAATGCTCTAATTCTGCTATACAGTTCTTATTGTTAAGAATTATTAAATTTGTAAAATTATTCTCTATGTAAGTCAATAAACAGTGATTAGCAAATTTGGTCATCTGACACACAGTTCTGAGATGCAGTGACTACACATCTGAAGCCAAGTATTGTTCACTGTTATCATCCTTAAAGCTCATTAAAATATACATGAATCCACATGTGAAGCTGACTAATCTACCCCTGTATATCTAAGGATAGATAATGCATATTTAGAAGCCAAGACATAGGGAAGGACAGAGATGAGAGCAATTCCTTTAGCATTTGAGTGAGAAATATGGAATGAGGATGTTGAAATAGGAAAACAGCCAAGAGCCAGTAGTACAAATGAAACTTCATGGAATAAAATCTTGATGAATCTGACTGATGTCCTCCCTGTAGAAAGTCTCAGCTGATTGTCTCTCTGTTGAGCTTTCAGAAGAGAAATAAGGCACGAAAACAAGTTTAGAATACTAGGGGCTTTCTTAAAACCCTAACCGTTCACTGGTATGCAAATTAGATGTTCCAAAGGATGCCTCTAGGACTCAGCCCTGCCGGCTGCATTTTTCTTAGCAAGGCAGGGAAGAAAAATAGTGCATTGTAGATTTTTCTTCACAAGATTGAAATTAAACTTTATTTTCTGGTTAAAATCAGTAACTAAAAATTAAATTTAACCAAAATGTCAACTATGGGAGCATCCCAGACAATTAAGGTTGTGCTTCAAACAGGACTATTTGCCCCCATCGTCAAAAAGATCATAACTACCTTCTTTTTTTTCTTTTCTTTTCTTTTTTTTTTTTTTTTTTACTGAAAAATAAATTGATATAAACACAGGAGAAATTAATCTACTTGAAAGAATAGCTTCCAAAGGATGCATTTGTTTTGCAATGCTTTGTCTCTGCCAGTGTTTCCATGGTTATTCTGACTTGTTTGAGGGGAATGTAAAGATAAGGTCTCTTAGGCAGCAGGGGTGTCAGTGCATTTGATTCATTAGATCAATTACAAGGTTATTTATGGGATGGCTTTAATTCAGTGGCTCCTGAAGCATGAAGCTTTCACCGTCTTCCATCCCATCACCTTGGTCTGGCTAATCCTTCTCCGCGGTGCTGCTTCTGTGGCCCTTTGTGTCCTTGTGCAGGTGTTGTCTGTCTGTCTGACCTTGTGTCTGTCTTGTCCAGCTCTCCCTGCAGTTTCTTCCTGTGTGTCTGTTTGTAGATGAAGGGGCTGAGGATCAAGTGGGTCCCCTACACAGGTTCCCCAGCCACGAACCTGCCACCAGCGGGAAGAGGCGTAGACTCCTAGTCCCCTCCATCTCGGTGTCTGTGCCTGATGATGACCCTCCCAGTTCCGATGAGGAGTACTATGAGCATCCTTTGTTCCGCTCCCAGTGGACTGCCTCTAGCGTGCTCCCCAGTGTCCCAGCGCAGAGTGCAGAGGCCCGCTTAGGCCAGGAGAAAGGTGAACCCAGCATGGTCCCCTCTGCTCCTCCTCCCAGCCCATGGCTTTGGCTACACGCATTATGTTAGATGTGCCTTTCTAAGTGGGGTGGGAGGGGTAGGAGCCTGTTTTTTTCCATATGAAAGTGAAGTCCCTATATAGCTTATATCTATCCAAAGGCTTCAACAATTTATCAATATATAAAAGAAACCTTACTAGAGGCATGTGAGAACTCTCTTTTTCTGTATTGTTACTTCTAAAAAGGAAGCTAAAAAGTGGGGACAGAAAGGGAGGAATCCAAAAAGGCTTAAACTAAAATATGACTCCCTTCTGCTCCTTGCAAATAAATCAACCGGGAAAGAATATATTCTCATATCCAAACAAGAGAAGATGACCCTGAATATAATTTTCCTTCCTGGATATACAAACCAATTATAAATGGCCATCTTTTTTAGTACCATGTTAAACAATGCATAATTGATTCAGGCCTCTTCCTGCTGTGCTTGCCAGCCATGAGCCCAGCCTCTGAATGAGCGGCACACCCCCTGTAGGAGTGCACTGACCACCTGTGGGGGGGCAGCTTCTGTGTTAAGCGTCTGCCTCCTGGTGGTCAGTGCACATCACAGTGACCAGTTGTTCCGCCGTTCAGTCGATTTGCATATTAGCCTTTTATTCTATAGATGGGACAATACTCAACAGGAGGTTAAGTAGTTCCAAGGCAGTGGGGATAAGCTCACTGACTATGTTCCTGATAGTAAACTTCTTCCAAGGTCTTTTGGAAAGCAGAAAGCACCAATGACTCGACACTGACGGAGAACTATAGCCTCTACTGAGTGAAATAAGTTCTTCTAATAGTGTAAATTAAGTCGATTAAGAAAAACATGTGGATTTTTGAATAAGGAACATGTGGAGTGGAAAACAAACATGATTTATACAAAATCATAAAATGGAAGGCTGAAAACTTACATGGATTTGGAAAACATGTAAATTAGCTTGATTAGGCTTTAATCGATAAGATGACATTAGCAGCTACATTAAAAGTCTTTTAGCTGTAATTAAAATCTCTAATTTTAAGACATTATAAAACTGCCTTAGTAAATTAGAGTCTGCATTTTAAATGTTACTCCCATAGCTAAATTATGGAAATGAAAGTGTCTGCATGCTAAATGTGAGGAATAGGTGAAGTAGTTCTCTCCTCCCCCCAACTCCAAAGGTTTTAATATTTCTAAAACAAAAAACAAACAAACAAAAAAACCTCCTTTTCTATCTATGTCTTTCTCACAGGGCCATTTAAACAATGTATAATTGTTTCAGAGGAAATTTTATAAGAATTTTTTATCAGTAAACTACAAAACAGCTTATATATATTTCCTCTAATTTCTTACGTGGTAAAATCAGATTTATTTTCCTGCCATTTGAAGCACAATAACTCATGCCCTTCATCAGTTTGTTTTTATGTTTTAATAGTTAACACACCTTTTGGGGGGATATTTTGGCCGTTTGCTTGCCACTCAGTTATCTCCCTGGTGGTTTTGAGTTGCAGAAATAAGACTTTATAAATGACATGCACATTTTCTTTCCTATTCAGTGTCAAAGGGAACTATGCCTGAACCACATTACGAACATTTCAGGTTTAGTATTATGAAAACAGTTGTGTCCCAGAGGCAGACTTTTTTTTTAATAGGTTGAACTTGTCCCTGAGCCTTGTTTTTCAAAATATTTTACTTACTCTTTTAAAGTTTTTATATTCTCTACTATCATATAATGTAGTGAAGGTAAAATAAATTGAGTTAGACAGTCTTTCACCATTGAAATACTATTCAATAAATTACATTTTAAATAGCTTTGGTGAACTTCATGATACAGCTGTAAAGGTAATTGATTGGATCTTATTTTGAGACCAAGGCTTTTTTTTAATTTTTATTCCCCGGGTTCTTTAGCAAAGTTTGCATGTTTTAAATAAAGTGATCAGAAATTCATATGTAGGGACTTCGTGCGTTGGAGAAAACAGCACGTGTCTGACGAGTGTAAAGTGTTTTGTTTTTTTAATACATCAATGCATCTGTCTTTTCACCGCCATCTGTTATCTGGTAGCACCATCTCTTCCTTCCAACAAGCTTCTCACATGTGTGCAACTCATTGCCATTTCCACCAAGTGGATTCCTGGTTTTATGTTGCCATATTACAAGTGGTAATAGAGCAATAAAACCATTTCAGCTCTCAAATTTTAAGATAAACAACCTTTTCATGAGACTTTCAAAGGCATCATTATTAAGCAGATTCTACCCAAGTTTTCCGAGCAATCATTAGCCTGCATTGCATTCGAACATTAAGTCGCTCATCCAAATGGTAAAAGAAACTCTCCTGAGCTGAAAGTGTGCCTTGGAATAATATGTCTGTGGTTGTGTGCATTGTTCTGTGGTCATGATGTCAACGTCTTTTTCATCCCTAAGAGGAAGCAGCGCTAGAGGGTCCAGTGGCTGAGGAAGAGAAGCCCGGCCCTCTTCCTGGGAAAGAGTGTGGGGCTGCCAAGGTCTCAGGCCCACCCGAGGGCCTTGGTGAGGGCCCAGTGGAATCTAGGCTGGAGGCCCGTAGAGTTCCCGAGGAGACAAGTGTGAAAGAGGTCACGGAGGTGTCTCCGGAAGTAAAAACCCCTTCCTCTGCCCGGGAAGGTGTGTCTTTCTTAGGATGTGCACGTGTCTTGTTGCAAATGATCTCTCCAGCAGCTGACCGGCCTGATGCCTGTCCAATGCTATCCCACTGCCGAGGCTTCTCAGGAGCCCACACCGCTGACAGGCTTGCCGAGCGGAAGGGTGGCTTGCGCAGGGGCAGCAGCTTGGTTGGCCACCGCTGCGGCTGGCTCCCGGGTTTACGTTGCCATGATACAATCCGCTTTGCAGCCAGGCTGATGATGCTGTGTGAGCTTTTTGTCCCTCCGCCCCCTCTCATCTCAAATGTTTGCCAGTCACATTGCTAATACATGTATATTTTTATTTGTTTCTTTTGGGGACAGCAACTCATATGCTTTTGTTTCAAGTCGCGGAGTTGAGTTTTCGCACATGGAGGCTTCAATGACAGAATCATTTTTGTTTGCAACCGCAATATGCTCTGTTTTTTTTTATGCTTCAACGAGGACTGGTTTGGTTTCCTTAAAAGCTCCCGCTGATGCTTCTCATATCATTTCCTTTCCATGGCAGCCAACCCCTTTGGTCATCCCCATATCTCTTGAGTTTTCATTCATCTGATCTTTATTAGGAGTTCATAAACTATTTTTTTTTCTATTGTTACAACAGGACACACAAGTATATAAGGTAATCATGATCCATACACTTGCTCTTCAAGAGATGACTGGATTTTATTATCCTCCCCCCCCCCCCCCCGGGATATTTTCCAGATAAATATATTTGGTCCTAGTGACCACAGTGAAGTACCTTTAACCTTGGAACCAAGGGAGACTCTGAAGCCTTCTTGACTGGTGAACAAGTTAAAAAACAGAGTCATGTACTCCTGTGGAGCATCTCTAAAGGCAAACTTCCAGTTGATTGTGTGCCAGGGAATGAGGAATAAGGTGATGACCGAGGAGAGAAAGATATTATAGAGTTGACACTCTTTAAAATTTTATTACCCGTATGACTTCCCAGGACTAACATTATAATTCAGGTTTTCTTATATTTATCATAAAGACTAAGTAATATTTGTTAAGAATTTTGAATCCATGATAGAAATTGACTTGTCGGTTCTTAGACCATACCATATAAAGTCAATAACAAATATTTATTAATAGTCCTGAAATTTAATCTTAATGAATTTAAAAAAACAATTTTAGTAATTGTTCAATACCCCCAAAATTTGTTGATCAAGATAAAATCATAAACTTTTATTATAAACGAATTGATCTCTGCCCATGGCTTACCAATTTACTTTTAAATGAGAAAACAATAAGTTCAGTAGAAATCAGTCCTTTTCCATATTTAGTCCTATATATATATATATATATATATATATATATATGAGTTTTGCACCCCAATAGCTACATATCAGTATTCTTTAATTCACAATTTTTATCTGAAAAAGAAATCTAAATTTTTTCTACTATACTACTTATCACATACTGCTTAGAAGAGACTAAACAAAGGACAAAAGAATAGTCAAAATATCCTCTCTCACAATTTCTGTATGCATTAATTCACAAAAAGAGCTCATCTTAGCAACGAATATATCTCAATCCTGACATTTTCATATTGATTTTTAAATGGGTAGCATGTGTGCATGCTCCATAGTTTTTTTCTTTTTACCCTGCCATTCATTTGTCATTTCAAATATAATTTTAAGCTTACTGCCTGAAAGCACTTGCCTATTGTTTAAAAAAAAAAAAAATCAACCCAATTGCTTCAGGTTTACTTACAGCCTCGAAGATGGAGTTCCATGATCAACAGGAATTGACTGCCTCTTTACCTGAGCCATTAGCCAAGAAAGAAAAGGAAAGCAAGCCTGGTGAAGATCTTAAACATGCTGCCTTAGCTTCTCAGCCCGAGACAAGGGAAATGTCCTCAGATAAAAAGGACAGACAAGGCCCAGAAGAAGGGAGAGTGCCTCTCACTCTGTTTGGGCACCCTCTTGGTGCCGGCCCAGAAGACTCGAAACCGAAGGCAGAACCAAGCCTGGTGGTCCCAGGTATTGATCTCCCTCCAGAAACCCCAGTTCCAAAAGGACAAAAGGACTGGTTCATCGAAATGCCAGTGGAAACAAAGAAGGATGAGTGGGGTTTAGTTGCTCCGATATCTCCTGGCCCTCTGACACCCATGAGGAAAACAGATGTGTTCGAGGATATCCCAAAATGGGAAGGGAGACAATTTGATTCTCCCATGCCGAGCCCTTTTCACAGTGGAAGCTTCACTCTCCCTTCAGATGTGATGAAGAATGAAATAGTGGAAGAAGCGTCGCCTCTTTCCCCGGCCCTATTACAGTCAGATGACAAAAAATCTCTGGAAGAAACCGGTGGCCCGGGAACTGCCAAAGACACTGCTAAAGGCGAAGAGCCCCATAAGGATAAACATTACGAAATGGCAGAAGTACTAGCCCCAGAGGCAATCCCCTCACCCAGAGATGCCCACATGCTGGATGTAGAAGAATGTGTCCCAGAGAAAGTTCTGGAAGATGACAAAGGAGCCGTCAAGCAAGACAGTGTGCAGAAAAAGGAGACGTCCACCCTGAGTGGTCAGGAATCTCCACTGACTGAAAAGGAATCTCAGCTAAAGCTTGAGGGAAAGACAACTGTTCCTGACAAAGAAGCCATGCCGAAAGAGCGTGAGCCCCCCAAACCGACAGACAAAGAAACAGGTGTAAGTCAGCCCTCCCCAGAGCATGCTTTCTCAAAAGAACAGAAAGACCAACAGCCTGCCACAGACACACGAAAACAGGAGACATTCCCTGTGTGTTTGGAGCAATCAGTGACAAGCTCAGCCCTGACCACTACAGTGCCGGAGAAGGAGCCAGCTGTGCTAAGTGAGAAGAATGCCATCGAGGATCTGTTCGAAGAAAAGGCTGCTGACAAAGGTAACAAAGTCGAAGGAGCTGGGGCTGCAATATTAGCTGAGCTTGGTGTGCCATTTTATGAAGATAAGTCGGGAATGTCCAAGTACTTTGAAACGTCTGCCTTGAAAGAAGAAGTGACAAAAAGCTTCCAGCCAGGAAGTGATTACTATGAACTGAGCGACACAAGAGAAAGCGCCCAAGGGCCTTTTGATACCGTATCTCCCCTGCATACACGTGGTGACAAGGCAGGCAAAGAATTACAGCCTGGCACTCCAGCACAAGAAACGGGCTATAGCACTCTTGCAAAGAGTTACCCACCCGATTTACCTGAAGAGCCCAGTTCTCCACAAGAAAGAATGTTCACTATTGACCCAAAAGTGTATGGGGAGAAAAGAGATCTCCATAGCAAGAATAAGGATGATCTGACACTAAGCAGGAGCTTAGGACTCGGTGGTAGGTCCGCAATAGAACAGAGAAGCATGTCCATCAATTTGCCCATGTCTTGCCTGGATTCCATAGCCCTTGGCTTCAACTTCAGCCGGGGGCATGACCTTTCTCCTCTGGCTTCTGATATTCTCACCAACACCAGTGGAAGTATGGACGAAGGCGATGATTACCTGCCGGCCACCACCCCAGCCCTGGAGAAGGCCCCTTGCTTCCCCATAGAAAGCCAAGAGGAGGAAGAAGAACAAATACAGGAGGGAAAAGCCACCAGAGAGGGAAACGCTCAAGTCGAGACAGCGTGTGAATCGCCATTCCTACCCCAAGATTATTACAAAAACGGTGCTGTCATGGCCCCCGACCTGCCTGAAATGCTAGACCTGGCAGGCACAAGGTCAAGACTAGCTTCTGTGAGTGCAGACGCCGAGGTTGGCAGGAGGAAGTCGGTCCCATCAGGGAATGTCATTGAGGAGAACCGCACTGGCTTGCCCCCGGTCACTGATGAGAACCACGTCATCGTTAAGGCGGACAGCCAGCTCGAAGACATGGGCTACTGTGTGTTCAATAAGTACACCGTCCCCCTCCCATCACCTGTCCAGGACAGTGAGAACTTATCGGGAGAGGGTGGCTCTTTTTACGAAGGCGCCGATGATAAAGTACGACGAGATTTGGTCACAGACCTTTCCTTGGTTGAAGTGAAATTGGCAGCTGCCGGAAGAGTCAGAGATGAGCTCAGTGCTGAGAAAGACGTGTCTCCACAGCCAGGACTGAGTAGGGAGTTTGAGCTGGAGAGGAAATCCAGTGATAAGTTGGACACTGTGCCAGAAAAGAGTGAAGAACATACTGATTCAAAAGAGCATGCCCGGGAATCCGAAGAGGCTGGTGACAAAGTTGACGCGTTTGGATTAGGAACAACCTATGAGCATGCCTTGGCCAAAGAACCGACAGTGTCAAAAGATGCAGAGAAAGGTCTCAGCTCAGTGCCAGAGGTCGCTGAGGCAGAACCATCCAAAAAAGCTGCATCGGAGCTGAATTTTGCCGCAAAGAGAGCTGAGCAAGGTCACTTAGATATTAAAGTCAGCGAGTTTGGACAGATGGCCTCAGGGCTAAACGTAGATGCTGGAAAGCCAACAGAGCCTAAATTCGAGGCCCCCCAGGACCTCACTCTCTTATCCGGGGCACCTCAGGAGGCAGATGCGTTTATGGGCGTTGAGTCAGGCCACGTGAGAGAAGGCACCAAAGTCAGCGAGACGGAAGTTAAGGAGAAGGTGGCCAAGCCTGACCTGGTCCACCAGGAGGCTGTGGACAAAGAAGAGTCCTACGAGTCCAGCGGAGAGCATGAGAGCCTGACCATGGAGTCCTTGAAGCCTGAGGAGGGCAAGAAGGAGACTTCCCCGGAATCTTCTCTCATTCAAGACGACATCGCCGTCAAATCATCCGTGGAAGTTCCTTGTGCCCCTGCTGTTTCAGAGGCCGAGTTAGCCCAGGATGAGAGCACGGATGTCCAGTTGGAATCTACTCAGCCACCCAAGGAAGAGAGCAAAGAGACCCCAGGCATCTCCATCACACCCTCTGAGGTCACAGAGCCATTGCTTGGAGCCGCCGAGGCCGAACCAGCAGAAGCCCAAACCGAGGAAGAAGAGATAGAAGCGCGGGGAGAATATGATAAACTGCTCTTCCGCTCGGACACCCTGCAGATTGCCGACCTGGGTGTCCCCGGCGCCAGGGAGGAGATGGTGGAGACCTGCCCAGCTGAACACAAAGGCGTGATCGAGTCCGTGGTGACCATCGAGGATGATTTCATCACCGTAGTGCAGACCACCACCGATGAGGGGGAGTCCGGGTCCCACAGCGTGCGCTTCGCAGCCCTGGAGCAGCCGGAGGTGGAGAGGAGACCACCCCCTCGGGCCCAGGCCGAGGAGGAGCTGGAAGTAGAAGAGGCAGCGGAAGTCCAGGCAGGACCCAAGGATGGCGCCCCCAAGGCTCCAGCTTCCCCTGAGAGAGAAGTGGCTGGGCTCTCAGAGTACAAGACAGAAACCTATGATGATTACAAAGACGAGACCACCATTGATGACTCCATCATGGATGCTGACAGCCTCTGGGTGGACACTCAAGGTGTGCATTTTTTTTTTTTTTTTAATTTTCTGCTCCCAAAGAAAATCCCATAACCTAATGGATTTTTTCCCCTTCATTTTAAACCTCTAAAAACGCCCCTTTGTCTCTTTCTTTTTGCATTTTGTTCAATGGATGAAGGGTTCTGCACACTTGTTACTAATGCTCTTCTTGTTGTTCTTGTTGTCATGATTTGCTTTGATCCGCAGATGATGATAGGAGCATCATGACAGAACAGTTAGAAACTATCCCTAAAGAGGAGAAAGCTGAAAAGGAAGCTCGGAGACCATCTCTCGAGAAACATAGAAAAGAAAAGCCTTTTAAACCCGGGAGAGGCAGAATTTCCACCCCGGAAAGAAAAGTAGCTAAAAAGGAACCTAGCACAGTCTCCAGAGATGAAGTGAGAAGGAAAAAAGGTTCATTTAACAATCACTTCTTTAAAAATGTTTGTGACGTTAATTCGTTATTACTCTTTTTATAGAAGAAACTTCTAACCGTGGTAACTATTGAATGAAATTTTGTTCGGTTTTGTTCCAAGTGTTTATTTTTCTCCTGATGGTATGCTTTTCTGTGTTTTCTTATTCATAGCAGTTTATAAGAAGGCTGAACTTGCTAAAAAAACAGAAGTTCAGGCCCACTCTCCTTCCAGGAAATTCATTTTAAAACCTGCTATCAAATATACTAGACCAACTCAACTCTCCTGTGTTAAGCGGAAAACGACAGGTGACTTGTTCAATTCTGCAATGTGGCTGGCAAACATAGACATGTTTTGTTTTGTTTCTGTTTTTTAAATTTCATTACCGTAGCAGCTTCTTCATTTTATTTTTTTCTTCCAAAAGTATCTCAGTAGTCATGAACGATTTCAGCTATTACATGTCTTGTATCATTATTCTTTTTTTTTTTTTTTCCCTCCCTGCAGAAGAGGTCATGACCATCTGTTTCTTTGTCATGCTCAGACTTAACAGTGATTGTATCTTGGCATTGTGCTCTAGTGTCACGTTCTGGGGACTCGTATTTTCATTCTGTGTGTTTGGGTAGACGAGATGGCGATGAATATAACCGTGGTATGCATTCTCATTATTTTGCTTATTTATCTCCCTCATGCTTAAACCCATATGTATTTGTCCTGCTTTCTAAAATGTTACTGCCAAATCTGTTACTGATGTTGATGAACTTACTAAAAGCCACCAAGAGTGCATAGTGATTTAGAGATTGAAAATGAAAAGCAAATCTGAGTTAAAATAGTGGTTGCACAATTACTTTGCTTTGGATGACAGCAGGGGAGGGGAAGGAAACAAAATTACCTGGTAATCTCAAATTTTATTTCTCAGATACAAAATTATAAAGGTTTTTCAATCTATGGGATGTATCTCTCAGCTGATATTCCATCATTGGGCTTTTCTTAAATGTGTTGGGTCCCATATTACTCAGTGTTCAGTAATCAAAGATAAAACACTCTCTCCCCATAGAATTTCTTAGCGTTTAGGTGTATTTCTATTTTATTGCCTTCTTATTTTTTTCTTCTTCAAATATACTTTTTCTTTTTTTACTGTTGAAAAAGTGATGGGATGAAGGAGCACAAATCATATAAAAGCCATAAAATATTTATAATGCAAGCTCCATTCCTAAATTGTAGTATTAAGTATTTATTTACATGTATAATTATACTATGATAATCTTAATTTATGACATATTTTATTTTAACATTTCTTAAATGGCATACTTGCAGTCTACAAAATTAGATATCAGATTGTGAAATCAGGAAGGACTATTTTGCTTTCCATTTACATTAGAAGTGCCTTTTTATAAACATTCAGATGGTTTTAAATGTTAAGAGCAGCATTAACTTTTGTAAAAAGAAATCCAGATTATTGATGATTTTGTGATAGCTGCTAATATCTCAAGTATTTTGTATTTGTATCCTTCATATCGGAATCGCTTAATATGCTTTTCTTCAAGAACTAGTCTCAAAGGTGGTATTTGAAAGTGGAAGACTTACAATTTTGCACAAACACTGATAATAAAAATTCAGGATGAGGAGTTACTCTACTCAATAGTTAGGAATTGACATGCCATCTCTAAATCTTATATCCACATCTTAGTTCATTTTTTCATTAAACATTCAATTTTCCTTCTAGTTAGCCAGATACTTGGGCAGGCAGAAACTCTTGATTTGGGCATAAAAATCCTATATTCTACCTGAAAGGATGAAAGAATATATCAGGATTTTGGAATTTCAGAGGAAATGTCAAGTGGTATGGTGAAGTACCTACATGTCATTTCTAGTCAAGATCTTTGTATTAATTGGGATCTTCCTTACTCTATTCAAAGGTTAGTACTCAATCAGAAAGCATACACCAAACAGGGTGACATTGGCTTGTAGCAAACCCTATGACACAGAAATCTGGGGGGGGGGGGGGGGGGGGGAGAAAGAAAGAAAGAAATAGTAAGAATACATCATTTTCACAGCTTCTTCCTAAAAAAGAAAAAAGAAAAAAAAAAAAAAAACAGTTCCAGAATCTGTGAATAATCTTACTAACCAATCCTAAATAGCACGTACCATATTGTAGACAGTAATTATTTTTGTGTTAGAGCTGCAGATGGCATAAGGAACTTTCTGAAACTCATGCAAAATGCTTACTAGTATACGGATAAGGGTTCCCCCGCCCCCAACTCAGGATTTCTCTTTTCTGAAAGAAAATTAAGGAGGAAGTAAATACGCAAGCTTGTGTCTGCCTTTTTAAGCACAACTTTTAAATGCAGATGGTTTTCCAAAACGCAAAGGATTGTTTTCAGTTGTGAGAGATATTTATAGTCAAGTCAGGTAAGTTATCAACAGAAAATACGCTGGAGATAATGGAGTTTTCAAATTGACGCCAGAAGTATGAAAGAGTAGCAAGAGAAACAACAGTAACAGATGTGGTAATAATTCCATGCAGTCACTTCGTGTGTAGGGCATGTACTATATGACCAAAGTCAAAGTTCTCTCATGTTTTCTCTCTATGACAACCTCTTTTGCTTCCCTTCTCTGCTCATGTGATATGTTTCACATCAAATAAGTGTGTCATTCGTATTGTAACATGAAAGGGTGCGGAGGGGAAAGGAGTTGGCTGGCCAAGAGCGTTTGGAACATGAAAGGCAGAAGTGCCTGTAGGTATGGCAATGGCTGCAAAAAAAAAAAGAGTTTGGGGATTATCTTCATGAGCTCTCTTTTATATCATGCCAACGGGAGAAACCAGACGGGCCCTTCTTCCTTAAATTCTATAGCAATCCGGGTGCTATTCTGTGACTCCAGTGCTAAAGGATCTATCCTCATGTAGTAATAATGTAAAGGTGCATTGGTAACCAACAGGAAATGATTTGGTGTGCTTCCCTGTGCTTTGGTAAACCCGGGGCTATCTTACTGTGCACACCCTAGAGTGGAGTGTTGCTATTGTTCAGGTTTCTATAGGTCACTGAGTTTGAGTCTCAAAATGAGCAAAATTTTGCTTTGCATTAGTTGACACAACGAACTACCCAACGTGGATAAAGCATGTGTGTGGTGTGTAGCCATTCAGTTTGGGGTTATCTCTGTCTTCTCTCTCCCGCAGCAGCAGGCGGCGACTTGTATCAGGTTCCCAGTGCATTTAAACAGGCGAAGGACAAAGTCTCCGTGAGTAAAACAACTTTCTCCCTGTTCCTCACTTGAAGGTCCTCTTGGTATTAGTGGCTATGTTTTACTAACTTTAGATTTAATTTAGACTTTAGCTGTTTACTCTTAACTGTCGTAAAATCAGAATGGTTCTCGGTGGCATTCAGGCATGTCTCAATGTCTTCTGCAATGACTTGTCGTCGGTGAGGGCTGCTCTTTATTAGGAAGACAAAACATACAAAACATCACAGAGATCTGGTAAAAAGGGGGAAGCCCAATATTTTGTTTTCATAGATTCAAGATAAATTGTTATAGTCAACACAAAATTAAATTTTATAATACATATTTATTGTGTCTACCAAATAAGAATCTGAGCAAATTGAGCATGCAGATAGAGCAAAATATAGTAAAAATATTATAATCCCCTTATCTAAAGACAACTACAGTTACCATTTTGATGTAAAAATCTTTGTTTTTCTCCTACACAATTATAGGTTTAATAACAAAAGCACAATCTATCAATTGTTTAATTAAACAGTAAACAGAATTCCATGTCACTGAGCATTCTTATACATTATCTTAATGACTATATCACATTGCATTTTATTTATTCATAGAATATACTTAATTAACTCCCTATTATTCACACTATTTTTTGTTATTTTTAGCACTATTACTATGCAGAAATCATTTTTTGCTAAATCCTATAAATGCATTCTTGTGCATTTCCTGTAGTGAAATTATTGTTCAAGAAGAAGGCCCATATTTAAAGTTTTTGACCAAGGTTGTCAGATTGTCCTCCATTAAGATTCTACTGACTTTTATGCCCTGTTGTATATAGAAGCACCCACGTTCACCATTCTTACTAGCTATTCCTACACTTTTTCTATATTTCTCAAGTTATGAAGATGAAATATCTTAATGTTCTAATTTGCTTGTATTGATGATATTTAACTCCTTTATATATTTAAAATCTTTTTTAGTTTTTATTTTGTAAACTTTATGTTTATATTATTAACCATATTTTAAAAACCTTCAGAAGACCGAAGACAACATGACTTTTCTTATTGAAAGAAAAATTGTAAAATCCTAAAATTACAACAGATCATTTGAATGATGTTAATTAGTAACATATCACAGTGTTCTCAGCCAACATGTATGATATGTGAATCACAATTCTTTGTTTAGCTTTTTAAAAACAAGTAAGATTTTAGACTTCCACTTTTTATTTATTGTGAAAAATAGGAATTCATTTTTAATAACAGCCAGATTATATTTTATATAATCTTGAACACAAGGAGCTTTATGTTGATAAAAATATAAATAGATATATATTTATTTAATTTTTATATAGATGTTTTCAGACATAGTCTTGAACATATAGAAAGCCATAGAATCCATTTATTGCTTTGAGAAATATTAGTGTTTATTTTGAAAACATTGTGATTTTAAGATTTGTATATCTTCACCGTCTGCTTCTGATGAGCAACTAGTCAGTGATGATGTTTAAGAGCAGGGATAGAACAGACCAGGTCCAATATTAACTATATTATCTTTTCTTCCTATGTCTTCATTTTCCAAAAATAATGGAAGGGTTAAAAATTTCTATTTCATAAGTTAACTGTAAACATTAAATATAGTAATTTTATAAAATAGTGCCTAGAACATAGCATTTAACAGTGATAGTTGCTATTACTATTACTATTACTATTATTATTATTATTATTATTATTATTATTATACAAATCTTTGGCAGCAGATATGGAAAGTAGATTTGAGCTTTCCCCCATTAGGGAAAAAATGTTTCAGTGTATATTGTTTGAAAAATGTTTAGAAAAATTTCTTAAAAGTGCCTTTGCCTTTGAATAATTCAACAGGAATTGGCATTCAATGCTTACACTTAAGATCAAAACTATATACATCTTCTGACACAAAATGAACCTTCCCCTTGTAAATACCCATCTCATTTTTCTGAGGAAAATTAGACCACCATTCTTTCCAGCTGTTTTTCACTAAACATCCCTCTTTTTGCTTCCTTGTAACCCTATTTGTTTCTGTTCCTTAAAATCCTATGATAAACTTTTCTTTTTCTCTGATATTCAGTACACTCATCAGAATAGTTATCTCTGATTTTTCAATTGACTTTTATTGTGAACCTGACCTATAAACCTTCATTTCATTTTGATTATTTGTTTGTTCATTTTATGTTGATTTTGTTTTTAGCATCAGATTAATAGTTTTCTTTTATAATTTGTGGCAATTCAGTCACTCACTTTTCTTTCCTGTATTCACACTTTTGAAATTCATTATTTTGTGGGGAACATCCATAAAAATTTTTAAAAAATGACTTGTGCTGACCCAGTCAACACTTCCCAGACCAGGCGCCGGCTCTGTGCAGCAGGAGGAGGACTGTGCCACCAGTGCCAGGTCCTGCCTGTCAAAGCGGCTACGGGAGCTAGAAACCTGAGATGAGAAAATCTTGGTTTCGAGGGCTATTTTTAAACAACTAAATCATATTAATGATTTGAAGATATCCTTGGCTTTGTCATACTTGTCTGCATATTTAATAGAATTTCCCAAGAGACATGGGGCCTGCCAGTGTAGCTTACTTTCAAAACCATTGGCATCCACCCCACTTACTTCAAGTTGCCCACAATCTCCCCCTGTGTTATCAACACCTACAGATTCTGCCTTGGCTTTCTGTGGGCAGTCTCTTCAGTGCTGACTTTCCCTTTTGGAATTGGTAACACATCATACAAATCGTGGTCCATGAATGAAAATGTTATGAATTTTATGGCATAACTTCATCCCCAGTATGCATTTTTACTCATAAAATAAACTTTTATATATACAACCTCAGCAGTTTTCTGATAAAATCAATGTATATAATCTAAAATATATATTTTATCAACTTAAAAATATTTTAATTATTAGATTTTAAATATGCCTTGTTCTTTTTTTAATTTTATTTCAGAGAGGAAGGGAGAGGGAGATAGAAACTTCAATGATGAGAGAGAATCATTGATTGGCTACCTCCTGCATACAACCCACTTGGGATTGAGTCTGCAACCTGGGCCTGTGCCCTGACCAGGAATCAAACTTGAACTCCTGGTTCATAGGTCGATGCTCAACCACTGAGCCACACCAGCCAGGCTTATACCATATTCTAAAATTCTTGAAATGTGACCAGGATATTAATTATATATATATATACATCTTAAGAGCTGTTTTTATCAAAGGAACACATCCAACAAACTCACAAGATAGTATCATCTAAGAGAGTATCATGTAAGATCTATGGATTAATCAGACACTTTGTACATAGAATGCATAAAAAATATTTTAATCTGGATTCTCATATATGAATATTCCTAAGTTAAAAGGAGATTTTCAATGAAAATCTCTCATTCTCATAAAAATATACATCTCTGTCATCGTTTATAACCGTTTATCATGTGTTCTTATTTAAAATATACATTTAATTTTTATAAGTTTATACATTTTTAAATTTCCTTTTACTTCATAGTTTGGTTTATTTTGTGCTTTTGTTTGTTTTCTTTCATGGCTAGAACTCTACCTTGTCAAAGATTCCTGCCTTACAGGGTGACACAAAGTCCCCACGATGCAGCTCAGCCTGCCCTAGTCCGACTAAAAGGACTACATTTTCTGACGGTTTTTTAACACAGCCCTCCTCCGCGGGCTCCACAGCCCGTTTGCCACACTCAGAATCAGGGAACAAGGTAAGGCAGCAGGCCAGTCAAAGGCGCAGAAAGGAATCTAATTTGGGAAAAGGTTATAGGACAGAATCCAATAAGTGAATGAAAGCAAACACTTTAAATGCTGACAGGGGTGACATATAAATAATAGACCTTTATGAAAAATAAATGCAAATTAAAAGTTGGAGTAGCTATGAATAGTCTAACCATTAAAAAACTAGAAAATGTTTTCTTCTAGGTGTATCATCCATTAATTTATTATTGGATGATATACCTAGGAAATATAATTTAAATTTCAAATACAAACAAAATTTACTAAACATATTGCATATAGCATGTTACATATATAATCTAATATATAGTAGTATATTGTATAATCTAATAATACCAAATTATAGTACCCTGCACCTTCTCACAACCTGGGACCCCTCAGGAGGTGTTGGAGGCCTAGTGCATGGTTTCAGCCTAATCCTCACAGACCAGGCTGAGGGCAGGACCCCACTGGTGCACGAATCCATGCACAGGGCCTTTAGTATGCATAGATCTTTGGTTAATCTCTTCCCCCCTTCCCCTCTCCCATCTTCCCTCTGAGGTTCATCAGTCTGTTCCATGTTCTCATACCTGTGTGTTGAGCGTCTGCCCCCTGGTGGTCAGTGCACATCATAGCTACCGGTCAAACAATTGGACGGTCACTTAGATGTTTGTTATATATAGATAATACAGTAGAGAGTTTGGATTTGATATCAGACACATCAGGATTTAATACTAACGTTTGTTACCTACCAACTTGAAAAAATTATATAAAGTGATTAAGCCTGTCTCCTTTGGCTATAAAATGCATATCATTTTTGTGCTAAGAATTAAGTCATAAGTGAATATAAAGTGCTTCCAGTTCCTATGACATAAGTGCACAATGTACGCAAGGTCATTATGAGGAATATTATGCATGCAATGCCCTACTGCCATTCCTTTTTGATTAATAAATTATCGTGCTAATGTACAATAGATTTCTCAGTAAAATTATTAATTTGCTAAAATTGCTTGAGTAAATTCATTTTGCCTATATTATCAAGATTGGAACTTCATAATAAATTATTAATACTAAATCTAAAGTAATCCATTTTAAGAAAACCTCTAGGCAAGTATGAATTCTAAGTTTTGAAGGAGAAATGCTTATAAGCATTCAGTAGTGTGTACTAGAGAAATGAATCTAGCAGCACAGGAGGAAAAATAGCCAAAGCAATGCAATCACCTTGTATAATTAAAAATAAAGGTTCCCAAGAACCCAGCGTCCTTTTCCTCCCCCTCCCTCAGCACCAGGATGGAGTCACCAAGAGCCCAGAGAAGCGCTCTGCTCTGCCAAGACCCTCCTCCATCCTCCCTCCGCGGAGAGCTGTATCGGGAGACAGAGATGAGAACTCCTTCTCTCTCAACAGTTCCTTCTCCTCTTCAGCACGGCGGACCACTAGTAGGTTCCTTTGGTTTCTCTTCCTTTCTCATCAGGTTTCTAAAATCCCATAAGGAGAGCAGAACTTGCGTAGTTATACTTTACATTTGTCAAACTGTGCTTTAAAATCAGATTGCGTTTGTCCTAAGCATCAGGAAATCCAGACGGTGGATGGGTCCTAAGAGCTGTTTGAGTCAAAATGATTCATGGCAGAAATGAGTACATACTGCTTTGTTATTAAACGGGATTGGGACAACGTTGTTCTTCTCAGAATATGTTTCCCTCTTCTTTCACATTTAGTGTAAAAATAAATTTGACAGAAGTAATGAAGAAAATCTGTAGTAAGGTGTTTAGAAAATACATAGCTATAAAAACTTAACCCTTGAAATCTAATGGAAAGTCAATAATCAAAGCCTAGGATCCTGCTCAGTTTGTTGAGAATTTGCCTTCCAATCAAGCTGTAAACAGAGCGTGTTCTATGCCAGAGCTTTCTTTAGACTGATGGCCCATCATGTACTGGTTGATAGTTATCACAGTGTATGTAAAGATTATAAAAATGTTCTAATCATTCATTATCTACTTATATGCTGTGTTGTTACCAAGATTATCTAGTAAAGCCTGGGTTCAATACTTTCACAAATATGTTTCTATTACACCAAAAATGGCTACCATTTATTGAGACATAAAATGGCTACCATTTATTGAGATGCTAAAATCATAAGACACATTCTCCACGCAATTTAGTTAACAAAGCTAATGGTTAGGTATTAATAATCTCATTAAGTCTTCTAATGAGAAAACTGACCTTTTTAGAGAGGGTAACTTGTTCAGTGCTATTCAGCTAGTAAGTGGTTGAACTTGGCTGTCAGCCCACTGATCATTTCACAACTTGTCCTCATAATGTCTTCTCTGTATTTATTTGGAAGAAATAGTTCCAGAGAATTGCTCTATAGAATCCCTTGGGAAATAGTACAATATCTGTATAACTTAAAAAAAATCCTTACAAAATGATGGAAACATTTGAAAAATAGTCTCTGCCATTAAAATCCATTACAAAATGGTGGAAATTGCCACTGCTATCACATTATAGTTGACTTCACCACTTCTTTTTTTAATTTTTAGTAACTAGCCCACTTGAAATGTGACTATTTTTGCATGACATTTAAACAGTGCTTTTGTCAACAATGAAAATGTTTGTTATAATTAGAGCAATTGTGCTCTACATCATTTAGCTTCATGAAGTATTAACATCCTTTGAAATATGTGCTAGGAACACTTTGAAAGCATTAAAACTCTTTTTTTCCTTAGCAAAAATAAAGTATTCAAAAGAAATTGGAAAGAATGCATTTAAGAGTTAGTCATCTCCAGAGAAAAGACTTCAGTTCCAGATATCTGGAGTTGGAATTGGGCATAACCCTGGGGGTGTTAAGACAAGACAAATGTATCAGGTGCTCCCCAAATGCAGATCATGAATCATACTTCTATTTGTTGCTATGGAAACAAATGGCACTTCCTTCATAAATCCACAACTTCAAGCCACTGTGCTCTACCCTTTAAAATGTACCTGCATATAAATTGTTTTTTTGTTCTGAGTCATCCTATTTTGACTTTCTAACTTTACTTACATAAGCCTGTTGCATTGTATTAATTTTCTGGTGTATAAGACGACTTTTGAAACAAAAAAAAAGCCAACCAAAAATCGGGGGCAAAAGACCAAAATTGCACAAAAATTACCTGCAGATCTTGACGGCAAAGTAAGTCTTTTCTTTGAAGTGGGGGGTAGTCTTATTCAGCGAATATAGGCCTAAACCTGTTTTAACTGTAAAATTAGGGGGTCATCTTATACGCCGGAAAATACTGTATTTGATAATGAACATAACTGACACTCTAAGGAAAGGGTTTGTTTTATCTCCACATAGCAATAGCTAAAAGGCTCAGGCACAGTTAGAAGAGTGTGATTTGCCTGTCATCTTTTTAACTGCACACAAGAATGTTCTAGCAGTTGGTACAGCTATTGAAAAGATTTGAAAGGAACAATGCTACACCGGAAGTTAGTTTAGGCCCAAAAGGAGGAAAATACATTGTCATTGAGGAGCTGACAGGATAAATAGGAGTGTCATTTACTAAAGTAACTTATAAATATTTTAATTTTTAAAATCTTTATTGTTGAAGGTATTATATATGTCCCTTTTCCCCCCATTGACCTCTCACCCCCTTCACCCCTTTTTAGTTTTTTAGTATCTTAAATTTAACCTTTTTAAATGCCAGAACATATAAGAAACACTCAGATTTGTCATTTTGATGACTAGAACATCACTTATTGCAATAAAAATTGATTATATTTATTGAACAGCACTGTTAATAGCATAATATTAGTGATTTCCCCCCTCATTCTCCAGATGTAACCAAAAACTTTATTTTTTAGTTTTCCAAAGCTGAAAGCCTTTTTCTAAAAGTATAGCAATGACTCTTATTTTTAAAAATATCTTTCATAAAAATTGTTCTCCACACCCAAAATATTACATCAGCTTAATCTTTATAAAGTCAAACAAACAAAAACAAACAAACAAAAACAAACACCTTAGCACACTTGGATCAATTCTGAATCCAATTCGTACTATTTAAAAAAGAAAATATATTGCATATCTCCTGTGTTCAGATCCCATGAAAGCTACCCTTGCTGGGTACAGTGACAAATAATACAGAGAAGATCCCTCTCCCTCAAAGACCTGAGTTATTTGGAGGTTAGGAAGTCATAGAGAAAACATTTGAGGCAGAAATGAAGTTCTTCAGAAGGACATAGTGATTGATTGAAGCCTGCATAAAAAAACTTGGTCATAAACAAGCTTCGTAGAAAAGAAGGTACAGGCAAGTTGGGTGTGGTTGTATCATCCTGGTCTCAAAATACAATTTTGTTGAAAGCAATAAAAATCACAGAACGCTCACTAATTTATCACTTCGGTCTCTTCATATCTCATTTCATATTGTCAGTTGAAGAGTTTACCTGTTTTGCCCTTATGTTACAAAACCAAATTGAAAGGGCAACTTTTAATTGATATGTGAAAACTGTTCCCTGAAAGAGGGAATAAAGTTATTCTGTTTCTCCAGGAGATTAAATTTAGACTAATGAGTAGCTCAGTGGTGCCCCTACATCACAACTGTCTCAGAAGCTCTGTGGAGCTCACTACTTGTAAATATGTAAGCAAATATTAATTATCCTCCTTCTCAGGAAGACCTTCCTGCAACAATGGTCAATCAATTACATTAGATGACTCTGTCCTTTTCACTTCATTGGTTTCAAACTTAATGAGCCAGATCTTTATCCTCTCTGCAGGATTTCTAAAAGATTCATGGATTTTTACAAAGTACCATACACTCAGTAGTAAAAAATAAAAATCATGTCCTTTCTATAAAATACAAAAAAGTAAAAGAGTTTGTATAATCAATGTAAATAATGTAAATAAGTAGTCTATAAATGAAATCAATGTATTACTTTAAGAGAAAAGATTTTTTATGTTAAGAAAAAGATAAACATCCCAGCCAGTGGGTATTGCAAAGTGGTTGAGCAAGAACCAATGAATCAGGAGATCATGGATTAATTCCCAGTCAGAGAACATGCCTGGGTTGTGGGCTCAATCCCCAGTAGGTTGCCTGTAGGAAGTAGCCATTCAATGATTCTCATCGTTGATGTTTTTATCTCTCTCTCCCTCTCCCTCTCTAAAATCAATAAAAAAATATTTAAAAAATAAAAATGTAAAGAAATATTAAGAAGCTAAGTCTGACTTAGAATTTAATATAGTCTGGGTAAATGAGCCTCAATGTCCTCATTTTTAAATTAGGGATAATAAGAGGACCCTCTAACTATTGTCTTTTTTGTGTTTTGTTTTTGTTTGTTTGTTTAGTTGGTTGATTGGTATTTTGGTGTTCACAAAAATGCTTTGAAATTTGTAAGGCATACTTTTATTTATATCATGGTTCTTTCAAAAAAAAGTTTGAAATGTCATTCAAAATACATTTTAAAGAATAATATGAGGCAAACATAGTATAAGAAATGGGAGAAAGGAGTCAAATGATAAAATGAGGCTAAAGTCAAGTTGATGCCCCCCAAAAAATTATATCTTGAACTATCCTGAATAATTGACCATGAGAGATTATTGATTTGACTTCAAATTACCAAACTAGTAATGAAGGTAGAGGAGAAAACACAATCAGATACAAGATTTATTGTGAATATAATGTTAAAAACATCCTACTTTTCTAAGGAGATAAATGGGCTTTTTTTGGTGTTAAGAACTAAGACAACATTAGCTATAAAGAAAATATATGATATTGTAAACAATGTCTGACATTCCTGAATGGCTTTCAATAAACACATTTGCAATTCACAGTGCTCTTCAATATAAGATGAGTGGATACCACTGAAACATAATTCAGTAGATAATTTTCTACATAGTCCAAAAGTATGTGATCTAGGTCACAGTTTAACACTGAATGACCACCTGGATTTCAGAATGAACTTGCTGCACAGAACAATGGTCTGCATACTATTTGAGGGAACTTCAGTAAATATGGACCCACATAAGATTAAGGGCAGACTCTTTTTGCAACTAATGGCAGATCCATATGCCTTAATGATTACTCAGGTAAAAAAACAAACTAACAAACATTTTTGACACATTTATAATATAATTACTAGTAAGAAGAACAAATCAGGAAAACTCAAGTTTTATTCTTGCATTGACAGCAATGCATGTTCAAAAAAAAAATGTACCAGGTAATGGTGCTAAAAGAGGAGGCTTACATTTTTTAGCATTGTGATTCATAGATACTCTAAATACCTCAGAAACTTAATGCATTGTAAATTCTAACGATTATGAGAAGAAGGATACATTGAGGAGAGCTTTTTAATGCTGAGTTTTTGGTTTTGCTCTTTATTTGTTCACATAGGGTCAGAGCCGATTCGCAGAGCAGGCAAAAGTGGGACTTCAACACCCACTACCCCTGGGTCAACCGCCATCACTCCTGGCACCCCTCCAAGCTACTCTTCACGCACCCCAGGTACTCCTGGAACCCCTAGCTATCCCAGGACCCCTCACACGCCAGGAACCCCCAAATCTGCCATCTTGGTCCCCAGTGAGAAGAAAGTTGCTATCATCCGTACTCCTCCAAAGTCTCCTGCCACTCCTAAGCAGCTTCGGCTTATTAACCAGCCACTGCCTGACCTGAAGAATGTCAAGTCTAAAATCGGATCAACAGACAACATTAAATACCAGCCTAAAGGGGGGCAGGTAAGAACCATAAGAATACGTATTTGCTGCCAGGTATAAAATCCCAGGAATTATTATGATGCCTTCCTCATATTATAAGCTAACAGTTCTTACAAAAAAAAAAAAAAAAAAAAAAAAAAGGAGGTGGAGTTACTGGTTATGACTTATTGCCAAGAGTTTGAAACTTATCTGAGAAAGCTAGCGTATAAAATATTTTAAAAATCACCTGACATGACATATTTATTTCTTCTGGACACTATTGGATAAAAATTGTTGTGACCATATAAGAGAAACTTTTATTTGGTTGCCTAACAGATCTTTTCTAAAAATATCTCTATTACCTTATAGATTTTAACTTAAGAGATTAAAATTGCATTTCTGATATAAATTGGCAGCATTCTATTTTAGATCCTGACTGCGAGCTCATCTGAGTATATTTTAGTGATAATGGAATGAGGACAGATATGTAATACCTTAGGCAACAGAGAAATTAAAAAAGAAAAAGAAAAAGAATATTGCACCACGATGTAAAAGCTGAGTTCTTGGTCTCCCTTTTCTATTAAATTTTGTATAACCTAAGATACTGACCTCTTATGTCCTCATATTTCTTAATTTATAGAATGGAAGCAACAAAATAATACTGTTTTTGTATACAGCACCATCTCATTTAAATAGACTATGCCCTAGTTGGTTTGGCTCAGTGGATAGAGCATCAGCCTGAGGACCACAGGGTCTCAGATCCAGTTCCGGTCAAGGACACATACCTTGGTTGCAGGCTCCTCCCCAGCCCGAGCCCTGGTCAGGCACGTGCAGGAAGCAACCAATCAATGTGTTTCTCTCACATCGATGTTTCCCTCTGTCTTTCTCTCTCTCTTCCACTCTGCCTAAAAATCAATGGAAAAATATCCTCGGGTGAGGATTAACAAAAATAAAAATTAAATAGACTATAAGGTCACTTTCAGATCTCATATCTATGGTTTGCCTCAGAATATGATAGCATTTGTCAACTATGTATACAAGTAGGTCACCAATATTTCCCTATGATATCAAAATCCTTTTTTCCAGTCTCCCAGTGTGGCTGGACTGATTGGGCTGAACCTTGAAAGATGATCTGTTACAGCTTCTACTAGTACGAGATAATAACAGAATGAAAGCCTGAGGATGAACTTGAAAGTATAAACACAGTCTGGCCCAAAATGTAAACATATTAAGAGAGGCCTCGCCGGGACTGGTTTGGCTCAGTGGATAGAGCTTCGGCCTGTGGACTGAAAGGTCCCGGGTTCGATTCGGGCAAGGGCATGTACCTTGGTTGTGGGCACATCCCCAGTAGGAGGTGTGCAAGAGGCAGCTGATCGATGATTCTCTCTCATCAATGTTTCTAGCTCTCTATCCCTCTCTCCCTCTCTGTGAAAAATCAATAAAAAATATTTAAAAAAAAAAAAAAAAAAAAAAGAGAGAGGCCTCAAAAATCAGATTTTCTGAGAACCCTGGCTGCCTGGCTGAAAAATGTTGATGCATTTAATTGGCAATAGGGAGTTGATGAGAATTTTGAATAAGGCAGAGCATTAGGAAGATGATCCAGTTGATTTCACTTCCACTGTGCAGTATGCAGAAGAAAAAATGGCCTCTCATTTTTCCCCATTTTGCAATAATAGTGCAAGTAAAACTTTGGATAAAAGAAAATAACAAAGTTAAAATGTGTTATAGAGTTCATTTTGGGTAATGATTATTCAAATATTTTTCTTCCATATCATGAATATAAAAAATTAGTTAATTTGCCAAATAGAAGTTTTTTATTTATATTTTTAGACAGTCTTTAAAATACTAAAATAATTTTCTGTTGACATGCTTTAGGAAAACAAAAGCTCAATGCAAATTCATATCAAAGAAATTTGATTTAGATCTTCCCATAGAACAGAGAGAGTTAAAACTCAACTCTCTGATTTAAATACACACACGCACACACACACACAAAGCTAATCTAGAAGGATAATTCTATTTCATTGCCAAAACTTTATTCTTCACAGCAGCCATCTATTTTTTAATTTTATTTTATGGAAAGGTTTGTGACAAGTGCTGGTATTTGTGGAATTAACTCTCTAAGTATTAATTAATGCAAATGATCCTAGAAATCTTTGGCATGAAGTATTTTGTAATTTTTTTAAGGCATAAATGTGAGTCACACAGACAAGGTGGGTACCTAGTGCAGATTGTCAAGCTAGAGGATAAATCACACTGAGCAAAGGGGTTTTGTTTTGTCTACCTAGCCATCAAGCAAGATGGTGCGTGTCATACTTGGCCTCATTTTAGACAAAAGCAAGAAACTATTTAGCTATTGCATGTATGGAAGTGTGTAAAGAATGTACCATTAATGCATGTCAAAGGTCAGCTTCACATTATAGATTGAGCCAATATAGGTTAAGAAAGTCTACCATTGAAAAGAATCAGCTAGTTGTTTCACTAGAAAATCTGTGACTATCTAGAACACCAGGAAAAAATCAACAGAAGTCGACATTTAAGTTTTAAGATCTTAAGATTTAAATTATCTCTAAGTAATGCAGGCAATGTGTGTGATCCCTTTGGGTTTGAATAACTTGTTTTGGCAATCATAAAAATTGTCAAAAAGTTGATTAAATGTTAGAGTCAGATTCTTGCAGCCAAGTTTAGAATTTCCATTTTTGCAACATGTTAATCAGAGTTAACATTTGGCTTGTGATCACTCTGTACTGAGTGGCTTGATTGGTACTCTAACGATCTCTAATTTAAAATTTGTTCATGCAGTATGAGACCCTGTATATTCCTAAGGATGAGAGAAAAAACTGGCTTAGGTGAATCCTATTTCATTGCCAAATAATTAGATCTTCATGGGTAAAAATTAAAAGTATTATTAGGCATAATAAATAAAAATGATTTTCTTTCTAAAATACATTTTTTTGTGGTTTGAAATGTAATAGTCTTTATTGATTCTAAGGTATATATATCATAGTTTATATGAAATTCTTAGCTTACAAATACACTTATTATTAGAAATAGACTGTGTGATATATCCCCTTTTATGAAACTGGAATTTTTATTATGCCCTAGAGTGTGGCCCAATCATCATGTCTTCTGAATTCAGATTTTGACAAGAGGCCCTTCCCTTGGGCTATCAATGAGAGTTGCCAATGATATTTCCCTATAAGGGACAGCTATCTTGTCAGTGTTAGTTAGGCACTGTGATTTGAGCTTTGTCTAGTTAAAAATAGTCAGGATTCATGTCCTCTTGAAATTTTTTATCCTTTTTTTGAAAGATCAAGAGATGTAATACTAGATGTAACAGTGTATATCTAAGAAACTTATATTTTAAAAAAAATAAGGGGATAAACTGTCCCATAAAACATTGAAAATGTGACTTCTCTTTAGCTATCTGGGGAAGGGAAGAACAGTAACTTTAGAAATAATAAAATGAACCAACCAAACAACAAAAATAAACCTTTCTTTCTGTGCAGACTTTGCTTATCTGCCCTCTGCACCATGCAGAATGCAAAAGGCACATCAAAGAAGTCACAAGAGTTTTACTCTGCACATTAGTATACTATGCCAGAGTAATATCTTCTCAGATCTGGATTTTCTATTGTCTTCAAGACAAAACTGAACTTGCTGAACATAGAAATAAAACACCTAACCTCAAATCTGTTGGACCCACCTGAGGCCTGGACTACATGACCTAATACAAGTCAGCTAACGAAAGTTCTTTGGTTTTCCACCTTCTGCAGGTAGAGAGAATGCTTCCACACCCACCATCCAGGGGCAGTGGCTGTGTGTGAGCAGTTTTCAGAGAGGCATTTCAAAAGGCCACTGAGCCCCGCCTTCAGGGAGGGCACAGAGCCTCCTTGTGGACCCTCTTAGGAAACCAGGGGTTCTTCCCTTGAACGAATGAGGACCCTCATCCGTAGCGTTCATTAGACCCTGTGCTAGGTGACCCCATAATGCAATTAAGTGAAGATGACTCATAATGGTGATGCTGGCACTGTCAGGGTTAAAGAGAGGCAGGTCGGGCACTGGTATATCCTTCAGGATCCTGGGCTGAACTACACCGAACTATTGGACCTTCCGTAGAGTAAACCCGAGTCTGACTGTTGCCCACAATATTGTAAGCCTCCTCCTCCCAGATGGTCCAAGTTTTCATTTTCTCTTCCTCTAATTGCTTCCATATTATACCTGCCTTCAAATGGGATGCATAGGCTCTGGAGCACTTGGCCCTTGGGAGTGCAGAACGATAGAGGCTTGTTTTTATACAATAGATCTGCTCTTTAGTTCCGGTGTTCCTTTTTCTCTTAAATGATTATGTAGGTGGAAGGGAGTTTGGAGCCTTTCTGGCACTACCCCTTCTGGTTCCCTATACCCAGCATATTAAAAGAAAAATGCACAATGAAGTTACCTCCAATTCCTTTTAGGTTAGGATTTTAAACAAGAAGATCGATTTTAGCAAGGTTCAGTCCAGATGTGGTTCCAAGGATAACATCAAACATTCTGCCGGGGGCGGAAATGTAAGTAGAAGCTTCTGATAGAAAGCTGTCCTGATTGCGTGGAGCCATCTGCACAGCCAGCTCCCTGTCTCCTTTCCTGCCTCCTTCCCAACATACTCCGCCTTGTTGCTGTGCCATGTGTCCCCGTGACCTGGGACAGTGGTTCTCAACCTTTCTAATGCCGCTGCCCTTTAATACAGTTTCTCATGGTGTGGTGACCCCCAACCATAAAATTATTTTCCTTGCTACTTCAAAACTGTATCAATGAATTGTAATGTAAATATCTGTCTTACGCTCTACAGCAGTGGTTCTCAACCTGTGGGTCATGACCCACAGGTTGAGAACCACTAGCAGGGTCACCTAAGACCATCAGAAAACACGGATATTTACATTACAATTCATTAACAGTATCAAAATAATTTTATGGTTGGGGGTCACCACAACATGAGGAACTGTATTAAAGGTTCACGGCATTAAAAAGGTTGAGAACCACTGATCTGGTAGCTTCTCAGCCTTGCATTTTTGGTGATGGGTTTCTCATTCTTCCCTTTAAGATCACCAGCAAATTTCTTGCTTTCATTTGAAGAAACAAAACCTTAATGGAGTGCACTATGGTTTTCAGGGGGTTGTTGGAAAACCCACTTCACTGGCCAATTTTGTTTACCGGCCTTTGGCCCAAGCTATTTCCTCATGCCATTTCTGTTTCCTTGCAAAAGTCACCTGGGCACACACTTTTCTGGCTCCATTTAAATTACTCCTGAGGCAAAGACTGATATCGTTTAAAATACCCAGTGTGTGATGTCAGTCTTTTGAGCTAAATCATTCATGAGTGTTAGAAATCCCTTGAATAACACAAAACTGGTGAAGTGTGGGTCATATCTAATTTGAAGTGAAAGGATTCAAGTCCAGGCATACAAGTCTTAGTGGCATATTTCCTGTCTCTTAAATTGAGTGGACATAATATCCAGAGAGGAAAGGAAAGATGAATCCATATCTCTCAAACTTAGTTGAGGCAGAATTGAAACAGGCAAACTCAAGCCAGATCCTGTCACCTAAACTTTAGGTTCTGGCCATTCAGGACTCCAGTAATTTAGAGTACAAAAACCAGAACTCTCACCTGTCTAATAACTTTTGGCTCCTTGCTCCTCAACTGGACAGAGATGGAGTCGAGCAGTGAAAGAAGAGATGAGCAAGTGACTTCTATCAAGAGTTGTCACCTGATGTTCAAAGTTGATCCGCTGAGCATAAAAATTTCCATGTCATGGGAAGTCCAAACAAGGTTTGATGGACTTTTCCAAAAGTTCTGGGCTTAGCCTCAGGGACACTATATATATGGACATGGTTGCCCTCCGCCCTGTTGGCCTAACTGTAAGTCCCACAACCTGGTACTCCCACAGAAACAGTGCCAGTCGGAGTAAACAACTTGAAGTGATCAGAAGCTGGACCCAAAATACCTAAGTAAAAAGGGACAAATTGAGATAACTAACAAATTTAAAATAAGTAGGTGAGCTTCCAACTTCCAGAACAACATCTTAAAATTTCCTCTAGAGAAGAATCACTTATTCAAACACCCGGAGTCCCTGGCCCCTTTTCCACAACATCCAATTTAGTAATCCCCGCAGAGTCTGATGCCAATGGACCATGAGCCACACTTGGAGAGCACTATTCTAAATATTGGGAGAGGAAATCATTTCAACAAGACACAAAAAGAAAAGAAAATACTGTTCTCATTAATATCTGGTGCACAAGAAAAATTCCATGTAGCTAAGACATAATGTTTTAGAAAAGCATGTTTACAGCTTTTTTTTTTTCTTCTTGTAACATAAAGCAACGCTATTTTTCTTGTATCTCTGAGCAATGTTGGTCACTTTTATGTAAAAAATCACTTTTGAAAAAATAATTTACCTCTTCTCTTGGCTCTTTGCTTATGGAAAGGTTTAACACAATGTGGCTTCGTGCTTGCTTTATTAATCCAGGTGTTTTTGTCCCCTTTGTGGCATGATCTGTTTTCTACTAATACAGTCTTCTGTTTTAGGATTTTCTTCCACTTGGGTCCTTCTTTCCAACCAAACATGTGGGAGTACATGTGGGAGATCATGTTGCCCTGTGTGTGTACGTACTTCAGATTGGGTTCCTGGATATGTTGTAGTGTGTTGTGAGTTTGGACATGTTTCTAGACTTGATGTATGAATTTAGGGGGCTTGTTCATATCTACACTATTTTAAGCATTTTTATGTGATTCACACAGGTGCAGATTGTTACTAAGAAGATAGACCTAAGCCATGTGACTTCCAAATGTGGCTCTCTGAAGAACATCCGTCACAGGCCAGGTAAGTAAATGCTTTTAGTAGCTGGAGAAATATTACATTGGATTCAACAAGCGGACAGGCAAAGGTTGTGTTGTTGTGAAATACCCGATTGGAAGGACATTTCAATATCCTGACACTTAATTCTTTTATGTAGAGAAACTTAAATTGGAAATTTGGGCATCTTCATTTAGACAAGTAAACCCAATTACCAAAAATAGGCCATATATCATAGGACAGGTTAAAAATTACAATATACATTTATCTCTATGTACTCAACATGCTTATTGCAGCTCTTTCTAAATATATAATCTATAAAATGCTTTGGATCACATCGTCATACATAATTACATGGACTTAAAGCAGCATTTCCAATGATTTTTCATGAGATTGTTTTTCTACGTTAAGTGAAATTAAGGATTGTGGTTAAGCAAAGCTGAAGAATTTTACCTATCTGTTGAATTTCTCAGATCCTTTAGTAGGTCAATGAGATCTGTAAATTCTCAGCAGAATATAAATGCTTCTCCAACGTATTTGACCATGGACCTCTTGATTTTCTAGAATATGTCATGGGACTAGTGGTCTACAGTAGAGTTTATATTCTTAATTCCTAAGGATTTTTCTCCTCTTTCAATGTGATTCTAAAATATGTTGAATTTTTTTCTGAGTATAACGTATTACATGTATTTTTGCTAAATTCCACCTCCACTCATATGTAAATAATAGACAACTATCAAATTTGTAGTTTTCTTGAGAAATTTTGATACAATTTTTATATATCATTTTATTGTAGAGTAACATGAGGAAGCAGTTGGTTTTAATCATCTATGCTTAGCATCTTAATTAAACCAGGTATTAGAGTGTTCCCATTCATCGTTGTCTCACATGTTATCAGAAACAAGGTGGAAGAACAATTAAGCCCAGCAAGATTGCTGATCAGGAGAAGATTATTAAAAAGATTTATTAGTTGAAAAACAAAGGTAGGATAAGATTTAAAATGGATAAATGCCTTAGAAACATGTCTAGAAATCAGGCTGTGCTTTGGCAAGGGGTATTCATAAAGGAAATCAGAGAATTAAAATTACTTATATGGAATCTCTATTAGTAGTTTCAGAACTGCTACCCTGGCTTTAGCTTCTCTGTCATTCATGAGGCAGCAGGGACTTGGCCCCATTCTGCCTGTTTTCACAATTCCCCTGTCTATAACTCAAAGTTACAAATACTTAGCTGACTTGGTACTTCCCTGTCAACAGTATGACTGAGGTATTTGGTCACACTGCCTATTATTTTCCAGAATACAAAAGAAAATATTGCATTCTTTAATTCCAGAAAGTAAGTATACAATTATTCAAATTCACCTGGGGTCTTGATGCTCAGAAAATTTTTACATAGACAAGGAAATATTCTGTGCAGAGATTTACTGGTATGAAAGACTATTGTCCTGAACTCCCACCTATTCCTAAATCTAGCTCCTCTGTAATAACTGAATCAGATGACTAAATTCATAAAGAAGTGTTAGCACAATGATCCTTGACAACAGCAAGCTTTTCACCAGGTTACCATGGAATGTGGAATACCTACGGAGAATAGGAAGGAAACAGGTCAGCACCTGCAGTCACAGATTATTTATCATACAGATAAGAGAAGCCCCTCTGATATCTTATGTTACAATGGATAGAGGAGAAAGGTATTAATATGTAAAGCGATCCACATCATGGTACAAAAAAGATGTCATTAACTTGGATGACATGTGGGAAATGGCATGGACTAGAAATTTTAAAGGATTTTTTTTTTCCACATCTATGGTCAGAGGCTAGTAGAGTTAATTAAGCTTGTGGTTTACAATGGTCTATCTATCATAATCATTTTTGGGAAATAATCACCACTAGTAGAAGATTTCATTTTAGCAAGGCATTTAAAGCCTCTCTCCTCACACAGGCGGTGGACGTGTGAAGATTGAGAGTGTAAAACTGGATTTCAAAGAAAAGGCCCAAGCTAAAGTCGGTTCGCTGGACAATGCTCACCACGTACCTGGAGGTGGTAATGTCAAGGTAAGAAACAAGGTCATGTGTGGTCTCGCTTTTTTTTTTTTTTTTTTTAATTCCTCTGAAATACTCTTCATCGCCACGGGTCCCAGATTAAAGACCTGGGCACATGGGAAGCAGGGATGGCAGCGCTGAGTAGAAGTGGCCTTCCCATTAGCTCTGGGATACAGAAAGAGATCTAGGGGTTAGTCAGGACGCTTGGATTGACAAGGACCGATGCTTGTCTCCACCAGATTGACAGCCAGAAGCTGAACTTCAGAGAGCATGCGAGGGCCCGCGTGGACCACGGAGCAGAGATCATCACGCAGTCCCCAGGCAGGTCCAGCGTGGCCTCCCCCCGGCGGCTCAGCAACGTCTCCTCCTCCGGAAGCATCAACCTGCTCGAGTCCCCTCAGCTGGCCACCCTGGCCGAGGACGTGACCGCGGCGCTCGCCAAGCAGGGCTTGTGAATCTCTCTCCTTTAGCGTTGGAGTAATGCTATTTAGGCGTAGGCTCTGAGCCGGTGTTATGTTCATTCTTTACAAACCGTACCATAGATATAATCTCATTCCCAAACTCTAGTAACGGTTACAATTTTATATTTAAAAAAAAAACAGGAAATAGCATACGCAGCAATTGCCTTGATTTCCATTTGCAACAGAAGACACTGGCTTTAACCTAAGTACGACTGGGCGATTCTTTTTGCTCTGCTCTGTTTTGCATGGAGTATTATTATTTAAAAAAAAAATAAAAAAATTGCATTTTCACCTTTCATGTGCCTGAAGGCTATCCACCACATTCTGAAAGGCCTTGTTAACATCCAAGCTGCTCATCTCACTATGCTATCGCTGGGTGAAACCATAAAAAGCTTCACGTGGTAACTTATTGCCGGTTAAAAATAAAAATAAATCAAGGAGTCTGATGGCAAGAAGGGAAGAGCATGTAAGAAATACGGTTTTTTTTAAGGTGTTATTTTGTATAAATGGGAAGAAAGATGCGATTAAGTTATTAACATTTGGGACCTGGATAATTATATCAGAGTATAAGTCAATTCCATAAATTATTTAACTGATTAAAAAAAAAATAGTTACGAAGCATTTGAGCTGCAGTTAAGGAAGTGGTGCAAACGTGCTCTCTTAAGAATGAGGCACTTACACTAGGACGGACTCGTGTCTGGTTAGAATGTCAGTTATCAGCTAGATTTGTGTCCACACTACCAGTTTCACACCCCCTTTCCATCTGTTTGATACAGTATTATAGATATAAATATATATATATATTTCTCTGTGGCCATTTGTGATACTTCCTCATATACTTGAATATTATACTTCCTTATTCACAGTATCTGTGTCTCCTGCACCCTTTGGTGTTGCGATTTTAGGTATGTGAAAGTAGACGTTAGCAGGGTTCTTTCCCTATTTAAAAAAAAAAAATACATTAAAAAAGACAAAAAGTTTTAGCATGATGTTGCTTTCTGTAACAATTCAAAGCTGTAACCCTGTTATAGTGCCAGATACAAGTCTCTCCCGTGATGCTAGGAGATTTTGTTTTCCTTTGTTTTCTGAGTTTGTGGGGGTGAGTCCAGTTATACATAAAAGGGGTTTACAAATTGTTGGTTTAAAATTACGGATTTCAGTTATTTTGAGTCACAGAATAGTCTGGGTTTTATTTCTGTAACCATTCATGAAAGATTTATTAATATTTCTTCTTCCTCTTTTTTTTTTTTTTTTTTTTTCATTTGCTAAAGTTGAAACTAACAGCGGGAGTTTGGGGCATGTTAACCCCGTCTCCCAAATAGGACCTGCTTGTTAACCCTTTGCACTCCGAACCATTCTGGACATTGGCTACCAGCTACTTGACGCTACTTTACGGCGGACTCGTGCGTTGAATTAACTCACTTCCCCGTGATCACTAATAAACTGCAATGTCCCCCCTGACAGGGGACATCCGAGTGATATGCTAGAATTCCGATGTCCCCTGAGAGGGGACAGCGGAGTGCAAAGGGTTAAACTATCTGACAGAAGACATTTGGCTTCCTTCCCCCAAGGAAAGATCCCTTGATCGGAAAAGAAAAATACAGTATTCTGAGAAGCTATAGCTACAAAATACTTGAGATGCAGATACCAAAATCATTTTATTCAAGATCCCAACTGTTTAAAGGAATACTGTATGACCTAGCATTTCTTATGCGTATATAATACTGTTTGACTTTACATACAGTCTAGAAATCACAAATCAATGAATTAATTCCTCTCATAAATCACCCATCTTAGACTTATGAAGAAACAGTTCACTAGTCAATGGCCTGACTAAGGCAATGCGTTACCAGGCTGGGTGGGTGCATTCAGTATTTTATCTATTCATTTTCTTGCTCAGGACTGGTAGGTTGGATTATGAACGGTTACAGGCAAATGATCTGGTAGGCGTTTGATCTGTTTGAGCCAAACCAATTCATGAATATAAAGAAAGAAATGATGAGTTGTGGGTGAGGCAAAAAAGGAAGAATAGTAGCATCTAAGAAAGAATTCAAGCGATGCAGTAACAGAGAGAGACAGGTGACATTTTGTGACTCATTGAACATTGGAACCAATGTGACTTCCACAGAAAGAAACTCTAGAGCAAATGTGCACCATCCACCCTCCATTCACTCTCCAAGAAAAGGCTTTACGTAGGCAAACATGTTTGAATCAGTCACTTCAGAGAACAGTAAAAAAGAAACTACTGAGGAGGACAATGGATGTGCCTATTTTCTGCCTAATAATTGCTATGAGGTTTTATTTGACCAATCTGGGCATTTTATCCATCAGCTTCCCTTGACATGCACCAGAAAATAGAAGAAAGAATAGTCATCTGGAAACATGGTATTTTCTTACATGTTTGATAGTGTTAGGTAGTGATTGAAGTTCGGTAGAAAGAAGTTAACTGATTAGAACAGTTTTAACAAGTGAAACAGGTTTGTTTGTTTTTTTTCAACTTGGTTTAATTTTTAATAAACAGTAAGAATAAATGAACATCTCTCCACGTTATAATTCAGGTTCTTAAAAATATGTGTCTAAAATAAAAATTATGTGAAGCATTACGTTCTTAGATTTGGCATTTAAAACACATGTTCATTTCAAACCACAGAAAAATTATGATGAATAAGTGCTCTTCCTTGGTATGGAAATGTGATTCTCTACAATGTTAATAACAACAACAGTGAAAAACCTGATTCTCTGTACCAGTAGAAGGGAGAAACACAGGACAAATGTCTTCTTATGGGGATAAGTGGTGGAACCCATCCTGCCTTCACCCTCAAGGTTAACGACACAAATAAGCTTTTTGAACACCACTTTTGTGGGGGCATCCATACGCTGATCTAGAAACTACAGCTTCATAGTGCCAGTTCTAGATCTATTCATGCCAGTTTCTCTTGGGCTTCCGCCTCTGAGAACCTGTTACAGGAGACATAAGTAAATCCAGAGATGCGAAGAGTTAAAAGGCCAAAGTCTCCAATGAACTCACCCTCTCTGGGTCACCTGCAGCCAGGAACTGGGTACCTTGTAACAATGCAGGAAAGACCCGAGTTTACGATGAGTTTCAAAGGCCGTGTTCATTTAGGAACCAACTCTCTCTGGATCCTCCTGCTGAGTTCCAGCAGGGCGATGGGCTGAAATCCCACCCACAAGCAAGACGCCTGTGTAACTCCAACTACCTATGGCTGAAGAAGGTTAAAGAGAGAATTTGCTTACATGGAAGGCTATACTAATGGTAGCTGGCTTCTTCAGACACTCCTCTAGTGGTACAGCAAGAAATGGGATCATCAACCAAAGTATAACATGTCAGTTGTAGTAAAGAAATAATCTCAATGTGCTTACTTCTGGCGTAGCTATAATTATAGTTTTTCTCATATTGTTCATGCCCCAAAAAGGAGGTAAATAAACTATTCGTGGTCTAAGTAGCCAACATAAATAAATAAAGTAGATTCATGGCTTGGAAAGGCAAATTCTAGGCACTCCTTCCAAGATCGATGTGGCAAATTCAGCATTGATGTTTGTTTTTCTAGGCCTAGGAGTTGTAACCTCTGTGTATAGGTTGAGGCCAAGTCCCTCTGCCAGAAAAAGCTTATATTTAAGCTCAAAAACTACTTCAACTTTAGCAAAAAGAAAAAAAAATCAACAAAAAGTATACTCTGTATGCTGGGATCCCAAGGTTCCAACACTCCGCTACAAATCTGGGGAGGGGGGGGTTTCTTTCTTCTGATAACTCTAGAGCCTGTTACCATAGAAAGGCATTTCTTCAATGGCTGATTGTAGTTAGTTCATGTTTTTCAATCAAAATTTGCAAATGTATTTGTTGCTGTATAGTGATTGTTTTGCAAAATAAAATTGCTTGTCATCTGATTTATAGTTTCAGATTGTTTCTTCTCTGGGAAAAAATTGTGAGTGTGTGTGTGTGTGTGTCCCTTGTTTGTAAAGAAATGCAATATATATTGTTCAATCCAAGCAAAGGAACATTGTAAAAAGAAGGCCATAATTATCTGCTAAATTCCTACCATGTCAGATCCTATCACCACTGTATTAGCAAAGGCTGTTGCAAGTGACAGAAACTCGAATCAAATTGGCTAAGCATGAAGACAAACTTATTGACTCAAGTAACCAACGAGGCAGGAGTATGGCTCAGGCATCAATGAATTCAGGCACTCAGAAGATGTCATGAGAATCTTTCTGCTTCCTCTGTGTCGGTTTCATTCTCAGGCAGGCATCCCTTTCCAGATGGTCACTAGAAGCTCCAGGTTGTGCAACCTGCAAAGAAAGCCTTATTCCAGTGGCTCTAGCCGAAAGCCAGGCCTGAAAAATCGTTGGATTACTTGAGTCACCTGTTCCCCTGTGCTAATAGGCCGGGCTGCAGTTACAGATCGAACTGTCACAGGCGGTTGGGCGACATGAACAAATCATGGAGAGAAAATGTTCCCTTCAAAGGAAAGTCAGTCTGTCACTGCCAGAAGAGAGGACTCAATGTTGTGCAGGTCATAAAAACACATCTACATCCATACACCGTATTCCCTGTCTTTATTCATCCTTTAGTTTTTTTTGCTACTCACACTGTGTTTAGGTTTCACCTGGGAGCTGACTAAAAATGCAAATTCGCAGTCTACATTCCAGACCAATTTACCACCTCTCCCTAGGTCATTGATCAGAAAACTTATCAGTCCAGAGCCAAATATCTTTTGAGAACCACATTTTTAAAACTTAAACTTCTTCTAATGCCACTTCAAAATAGACTTGCCCAGGCCGCGGTATTTTGTGGAAGAGCCACACCAACGAGCTGCATGTGGCTCACGAGCTGCGGTTTGCTGACCACAGCCCTTGGCGATTCATCTGCTCATTAAAGTTTGAGAAGCACTCCGTTTATCCAATCCTTTCTAATGTGCTGAAGGAGAAAGAACTCCGTTGCAGCCCCCTACCAGGTAAGAATTATACCTAAGACTACTTGACTAAATGCTGCAGTAAACAGGGATACATACATCTTTAAGAATAAGTGTTTTCAATTTTTGGTGCAAGGAAACCCAAAAGAGGGCTTGCTGGGTCAGATGGTAGCTCTAAGTTTTCTGAGGAACCTCCGTACTGGTTTCCATAGTGACTGCAACAGTTTATGTTCCCACCATCAGTGCACAAGTGTTCTCTTTCTTCACATTCTCTTCCATATTTATCGTCATATTGAAGGGAGGCATTGTCGTGTTGGGTAGTATCTCATCGTGGTTTTTGATTTGCATTTCACTTATAGGTAGTGATGTTGAGCATTTTTTTAATATATCTGTTGGTCATCTGTACATTTCCTTAGAAGAGTTTCTATTCAGGTCCTCTGCCTATTTTAATTGGATTGTTTTTGCTGGTGGTGAATTCTATGAGCATTTGGTTGGTTGCCTTTTATTTTGTTGGTGGTTTCATTTGCTGTGCAGAAGCTTTTTAGTTTGAAGTTAGTCACATTCACTTATTTTTATTTCACTCCCTTTGCCTTGGGGTCAAGTTCACAAAGACCCTTCTGAGATCGAGATTCATAAATTTAGTGCCCATGTTTTGTTTTTTTCTATTTATCTGTTTCAGGTCATATTCAAGTATTTATTCCATTTTGACTTAATTTTTCTGTATGGTGTCAGGAGTAGTATATTTAAAAAAAGAAAATACTATTTGAGACACCACACCAGGTCTGATTTCAGTTACCAAGTAGCAGATATGAAGCAGATTTGGTACAGTCTAGCCAAAATCATACTTTAAAAAAAAAATTAACATCCATGTTGTCTTACCAGGAAGTCTTGAAAACACAGGGACTAAAATATGTATTCATCTGGTAGCGTGAGTCACAGTGACTTTTATTTCCTTTTTATTAACAAGTTAAAGATGAGTTTAGTTGACTTGAGGAGATACAAGTAACAGATTTTGTAGAATGCCAAAATAACCCTCTGTGTAGCTTATAAGGGGGAAATGTGGCACTTACAGAACTGGGACCCAAATAATTCAAAGCTAAACCGTCATCCAAAGTACACAGTCCAGCCACCTGCAATTGTTTTTAACATACAGTCCTTCACTAGGTTTTTCTCCTTATTTTTTCCTTTCTGTCACAATATGCCTCAGCTCTTTCCATTTCTACTCCTTCACATTTTATTAAAACCTCCTGCTCCAGTCCTGGCTGAGGCAATAGAGCGTGGCTCCCAGCTGTGCTTTGTTTGGCCTGAACAGTGTTTTCAAAAAATCAAGAAATTTGCCCGGCTCTGGTGAATCAGTGGTTGAGCGTCAGCCTAGACAGGGGTCTTCAAACTTCTCTCATTATGAGAATCACCTGGTGGAGTTGTTAAAACACAGATTCCCGGATCCCAACTATAAGAAGTGCTATCAGGAATCTGTGTTTTAACACCTCCACCAGGTGATTCTCATAATGAGAGAAGTTTGAAGACCCCTGACCTAGAACCTGAAATTCACAGTTCAATTCCGGTCAGGGCATATGCCCAGGTTGTGGGTTCAATCCTCAATCGGGCAGAAGGCAGCGGGGTAGGTCAGGGAGACTGGGAGTCTTTTAAATCTATTGAGCAGATTTTTACCTTTCCTCACAAAGAAGGAAAAACCCCTTTCGGTAGTACTTTTGTGACAATAGCA